TGAAAGAATGAAGTCCCACTTCTTCTTCAAAGCAGATCCCTTTGTTCCTCGTTATGTTAATCCCATTCCTTCAAAAACTCTTATTTTCAGTCACTAAGTATATCTTTTTGACTTCTAAATCTTTCTCCCTATAGATGTCTTCTTTCCCTCTTTTGAAACTGCTCAAAGATCAAAGCAGTGATTTTTTTTTCTTCATCCTCATTCTGACAAGCTTTCTATAGTATTGAACACTAGTAAAGGAATTGGTGGAGTGGCTCAAGTGGTGGAGCGCTTGCCTAGCAAATTTGAGGCTCTGAGTTTAAACCCCAGTACCACCAAAAACACTCATAACTACTTTCTTGAAAGTACTGCCCTTCCTGAGTTATAAGCTATTCCTTTGGTTCTTTTTTTTTTTTCCAGGTTCATAATTTATTGTACAAATTGAGTATTAGAAGATGAGTTAACATTAGTTTCTCCAACCATGAGTACTTAACAGATGAGATCAGGCATTTTAGAATCCATTTATGTTGCTGTCACAGCTGGAGTTTTTTTAGACCTTAATGTGAAGTATAAGATCATCAAAGCAATGCCTCCATAAGTGACCAGTACACAGTTCATTCTACCTGCGAGAATATATGAGTTGAAATACTTTTTAACACCAGTGAACTGGAATTGGGCATCACTTTCTGGGCCTGCCATGGTCTCAACCTTTGCCAAAGTCACAAATTCTACAGTGGGTGTCCTTCAGCGTCCACAGCCCAGCCAGAAGAATACCGCCTTCCCCGCCCCTCCTTTGGTTCTCAATGGCCATTCTTTTCTTGTGAGAATTCTCCAGGGTTGTCCTTAGTTATCTTCTTGATGGATATGCACATTCCCTTGGCTATTTTTTTTGGTGGTCCTGGGGTTCAGACTCAGGGCTTCACGTTTACTAGACAGGCACTCTACCAATTGAGTTAAGCCCCCCAGCCCAGTGCTTAATTTTTAAACCATTATTTAAAGATTTTTCTGGCTCACCATATTTCTCACTAGATTTATCTGGATCTTTCTCCTGTGTTTGAGTTACTTTTCTGTTTGCTTGCTAGGTTGCTCTTCATGGACACACTCCTACCACCTACCTCCTGCCTCCCCAGACCTACTCACACAGGGTTCCCATGTCCAGTGAACAGCAACCCCATCCTTGAGGATGACTCAGTGTTTTCAACTCTCTCTGCTTTTCTACTGTTGTTCACTATCCTGACAGCTGCCAAGTGCTATTGATTCTTTCTTTTTAAATGTCTTTCATTCACTGTTTCTTTTCTGTCCTTTCTACTTTAGTTATGATCCTTTTCACCTCTTACCAAGATTATCCTTATGGTCTTTTTTTTCCTCCTGTTACTGGGGATTGGACCTAGAGTCTTATGCATGCTAGGCAAGTACTCTACCACTTAAGCCATGCCCCCAGCCCTTCTGTTTTCAGTTTGTTTTTAAGGCAGGGTCTCCCTAACTTTGCCCAGGCTAGCCTCAAAATCAATCCTCCTGCCCTCCTCATGAGTAGCTGGGATTACAGATATGTGGCACCATGTCCAGCCATTGTGACAGTTTCTTACTTTAAAAGTCTTCTCTGTCATATGCTGTTACCAGAGTAATATCCTAAAACACATTGATGATCATATCATTCTTCTACTCAAAACCTCTGATGTTAAGGAAATCAGATCAAAACCATTCTCACCAGGATGGCTATCATCCAATCATCAAAAAAGAAAAAAGTGTGGAGGATGCGGAAAATGGAATCCTATGCATTGCTGGTAGGAATGTAAAATGGTGCGTGCAGCCACTGTAGAAAACAGTTTGGTGGTTTTTCAACAAGCACACCCAGAATTACCATGTGACTTAGCAATGCCACCCCTAGATACATATCCAAAAGAATTGAAAGAGGCTTTAGGTACTTGTACAACAATGGCCACGGCAATGTTAACCACATCAGCCAAAAGGCAGAAAGAACTCAAGGGCTCATCAAGAGAAGAATGGATAAACAAAAATGCTGTATTCCCACAATGGAGTATATAAAAATTGCCAAAATTTTAATAATGATGCAATATGGATGAACCTTGAAACTGTTGACCTATGTGAAATAAGCCAGATACCCAAGCACATGTACTGTATGATTCTATATGAAATTTGTAGAGACAAAAAGTAGAGTAGTAGGGCTGGGGGTAAGAGGATGTAATAATGTAAATTTATTGTTTAATGAAAACAGATTTTTGTTTGGGGTGAAAGAAGTTCTGGAAATGGATAGTGGTGGTAATGGAACAACATTATGAATGTGCTTAATGCCACTGAATTATACACTTAAAAACTGATTAATGACCTGGCACCAGCAGCTCTCACCTGTAGTCCTAGCTGCTCAAGAGGCAGAGATCAGGAGGCTCATGGTTCGAAGCCAGCCCAAGCAAGTAGTTCATGAGACCCTATCTTGAAAATAACACACACAAAAACAGGGCTGGTGGAGTGGCTCAAGTGGTAGAGTGCCTGCCTAGCAAGCCAAGTGGTAGAGTGCCTGCCTAGCAAGCCTGAAGCCCTGAGTTCAAACCCCAGTACCACCAAAAAAAAAAAAAAAAATAGTGTTGGGAAAATTGGCTATCTACGTGCAGAAGACTGAAACTAGACCTTGTCTCAGCCTATTCAAAAGTCAACTCTTAACGGATCAAAGATCTAAATGTAAATCCTGAAACACTGAACTGACTATAGGGAAAACTCTGGAAGATACAGGCACAGGTAATTATTTTCTGAATAGGACTCCATTTGCCCAGCAAATAAGAACAAGACTTGACAAATGATACTGCATTAAATTAAAATTTTTCTTCACATCAAAACAGTTACCAGAATCAAGAGACAACACATAGAATGGGAGAAAGTCTTTGCCACCTATTCAGCAGATAAGGGACTAATGTCCATTATATACAAAAAGCTCAAAAAACTAAAAAGAACAGATTTAATAAATGGGCAAATGAATTGGGCAGAGTCCTCAGAAGAAGAAATATAAATGGCTAATAAATACATAAGCAATGTTCAACATCCTTAACAATAAAGGATATGTAAATCAAAACTACACTTGAGATTCCATCTCACTCCAGTCAGATTAACCATCATCAAGAAAACAACAGATGCTAGCCAGGGATGCAGGGAAAGAAGGAACCTTCATACACTGTTGGTGGGAATGTAATCAGTATGGAGGTTCCTCAAAAAATTAAAAATAGTCACTACCATGCCATTCCTGGGCATATAACCCAAAGAAGTGTAGATCAGTGTACAAAAGAAATACCTGCATACCCATGTTTATTGCAGTTCTCTTCACAATAGCTAAAAACTGTGAAATCAGCCCAGTACCACAAGAAAAGAAAAGTGAAGTTATGTCATTTGCAAGAAAATGGATGGAACTGGAGATCACGCTGAATAAGCCAAGTTCAAAAGGCCAAATAGCACATGTTCTCACTCATTTTTGGAACCTAAACCTAAAATGGTGATAATAATAACGGGGCATGAATGTAAATGGGGGGGCTGTCTGGGGAAGGGGAAAGGAAAGGATACTGAGGGGTGAAGAGGATGGAAGTACACTGTATATATGTATGCACACAAATATATACATACACATAAGACAGCATAATGAACCCAATCTAACACTGAAAGGGGGGAAGAAGGAGAGGAAGAATGGGAATACAGTGGAGGGAGTGAACTTGTTCAAGGTACACTGTGCATATATGGAATTATCACAGTGAAATCCTCTTGTGTTGTAAATGTATGATAAATCAAAAATTAAAAAGAACCCCCTAAAATGATTAAAATGATAATATTTTCTGTTACGTTTATTTTACTACCAAAAACCTTGAACATCATGTATTCAAAATAAATTAAAGCCAAGTGCTGGTGGCTCATGCCTGTAATCCTAGCTACTTGGAAAACTGAGATTGGGAGGATGGTGGTTAGAAGCCAGCCAGGGTAAAAAGTTCATGAGACCCCATCTCTTCCAATAGCTGGGTGCAGTGGTGCATACCTGTCATCCCAGCTGCAGTGAGAAGCATAAAATAGGATTATGGTCCAGGCCAACCTGGGTGAAAAGGGAGATCCTATCTCCAAACTAACCAGAGCTGAAAGGACTGGGAGATGTGGCTGAGTTGGAAGAGCACCTGCCTCATGATCATGCCTCAAACTCCTGTACCACCAATAAATAAATATTTTAAAAGTCCTTTCCAACCCTGGCTGCTTTTTAATTGTCTGTTTAATCTTAAATCATTTTGATAAAAGTCCCTGCATCTCTTGTCTTGGAGATTTTGCCCGAACTATATAGTGTACCCTTCTTTTTCTTTTAAGATTTAGCTCAGCAGCTACCGCAACAAATCTTCCCAAGATGTAGCCCATTAAAATTAATTCTTCTCTGTTAGTATTTTGGACCTCACTTAAAGCAGTTAACACATTTATCCTGTGGTATAATTATTTGCCTGCATCTGTGTCTTCCAGATTGTAAGTTGCTCTAATGCTTTCGTATAGTACACACTTAATAAATGTTCACTAAATGGAAATAAATCCAACCCTCTCATTTGATGGATGGAGAAATTGGAATCTAGGGAGGTCACACAGTGGCACAGCTAGGAATAGTTTCAGGGTCTTCTGTCTTCTATTTCAAAATACTTCACTCTATACTAACATGCTAATTCTCATACATCTTATGAGATGTTCAATCTGTATTCATATTGGTTAATTGAGCATCATACTTCTGAAGAGACCCAGGCCCTGTCTGTGATTCTTTTATTCATATAAAGAATTATATACTTTCCTGGGCATGGGAGTGTCTGCCTGTAATCCCAATACTCAGGAAGTAGAGGCAGGAGGATTACAAATTCTAGGCCAGTCTTGGCTACATAAGCAAGTTCAAGACCAGCCTGGGCTAAATAGTAAGACCCTATCTCAAAAATGGAATTACATCATGTTTTGTTTGAAATTTTTGTACTTAGGAAGATCATCATGTATTTTTATTCTGTTTTCAGCTTCATGTTTCCTGTAGCAGGTGGAATAAGGCCCCCTCAAGGTATGTGAAACCTTAAGGTTGTTTTGTTTTGTTTGGGCCATGCTGGGGATCAGACGCAGGGTCTCATGCATGCTAGGGAAGGATTCTACTGAGCTGCATCCCAGCCTGAAAATTTATGTTTTGAGCTTTTATTTTTCATTATGTTTCTAAACCTAGGATAAGATGGTAAACAGGAAATAAGTTGTATTGCAGTCTTAAAACTATGTGGTAGCTGCTCTTAAAATTTCTCATGAGTTGTTTGATGGGAATAATGAAGATTACTTTTTACTCCTTCTAAACTTTCTTAAGCATTATGTTGGTAGGTTGTTATTTAGCCTCAGAGATGGAGACTTTTAGGACAAGAGTATTGAGCTATAATTCTCTAATGACATTGTTCTTCTCTTTAATCTTTTCCTAGATTGTTAGTACAATAGGACAGGAGCCACATCTGTCTTACACTAATCAGTATCTCCAGCACCCAGCACGTTGTTGGAACATAAATTTCCTGTAGACATTTGTTGAGTGAATAAATGAATCTCTTTAGTATTTTAAACTGTCATGTTTTCTCTGTATGACACAGTCTTACACTCTTGTTCATAAAAGAGATAACATTCTCATTTAAACTATTTAATTCTCAGTTTTATTCCTAGAAATTTCCCTAATGGGTATACCCTCTTTTCTTTGGTTTGAGAATCAGGGCCTACCAATGTCAATTCTCGCTCTGTCTTTAAGGAAACAGTAGTGAAAGGATATAAACTTGGCCCATGCTGCTGTGCAGCTCAGTGGGACAAATCATTGATACCTACCCTTCTCTTGATTCTTTCTGCTCGTTTCTCCCTCGGCAAAATAGTCCCCTCCACCCCCTCAACACCAAGCTACTTCTGAAAACTGGCCCTTCTCACAAAGTCATTGTTGATTGGTTATGGTAGACTTGCTAGAGAAACAGAGACTCCTAGGTCACCAATAGAGACGAAAGATAAAAAGAGGTTCAGTAGCAAGTGGTTAGTAGCTTGCACTGGCTTTGTCTCCATTTGTAATCAATGGTGCAGGTTGAGTTTCAGGTAAATTTTTTCCAAAGGTCAGTTGTATTCTTTTCATTGAGTTTATGTTTACATATTATTCAAGCTGTCTGTAATTAAATGCATCCCATATTCAGAGTAAGTGGTTTGAGATCTTTTGTTCTTTAAGAAGGTGTTGTAGAGTTAGTGTTCATTACCATGTGTGATTTATTGTTTTGCATTTTTATAAACTTTCAAGTAAAAATTTACATATGGAACAAAATGAGTAAGAAGAGATACCAAACGGTGCCTGATATTTTTCTTCTGAAATTTGGATTTTTTTTGGAGGGCTTTGTTAAATAAAGTATGTTAGAATGAACTTGATCATTTGAAGACTTTAAATTATGTGTAGATCATTTCTAAAAGCATAGAGAAGAAACCAACAGCAGGAATGGTCACAGATCATGAATACTTGAGTAGGAGACAGGAGAAGATGACTTTTTGTGGCGTATACTTCATTTTTATTACCATATATTAGTTGTACAGTTTTCATGTTTCCATATATGCTTACAGTGTACCTTGTTAGATTCATCCCTCTCATCATTCTCTCTCATTTTCCTCCTCTTCCTCACTTAAAACAATTTCAGTAGGTTTCATTGTTCTATTTTCATACAAGTATATAAAGTGCATGCTTCTTTACCTCTCTATTCACCCTCCCTCTCCCACTAACACCCACCCTTAATAGGACCCGTTTAATATTCCTCTTCATATTTTAAGTGTATATTCATTGTTCAAAGGGTTTCAGCATGGTTTTGCACCCATGAATATATTGTACTTTAATCAGATTAACCCCCTCTGTTACTGTCCTTTCCCCATCCCCTATTAACAGCTTTCAGCTTGTTTTGTTGTGCCATCTTCCTACACAGATGAAATAGGTTTTGATATCATTCACTCTATCTTTCTCTTTTCCTCTTCTTAGTCCCTGAAATAGTCCCACTGTTACAGATATGTTCAATCACATGTTTGTTCTGTCTGTCTATATGTATAATCATGTTTGTATTTGTGTATATGTTTATCTTTTGGATCTGTCTTCCACATATGAGAGAAAACATGTGACCTTTGTCTTTCTAAACCTAGCTCACCTTACTTTAACATAATCTCCAGTTCCATCCATTTACCTGCAAGCAGCATAATTTCATTCTTCTTTATGGCTGAATAATATGCCATTTATTATATACAGTTGTAAGGCATATGGTCTATTTCCATAGCTTGGCTATTGAGAATAGTGCTGCAGTGAACATGATTTTGTAAGTGACTATTATATCCTGACATACATTCCTTTGGTTATATGCCTAGGAGTGGTATCACTGGATCATAGTTCCATTTTTAGTTTTTGGGTTTTTTTGGGTTTTTTTGAGGAACCTTCATACTGCTTTCCATAGTTTTTATACTAATTTACATTCCCACCAACAGTGTATTTATTGGCCATTTGCACCTTTTCCTTTGAAAATTGTTCAGTTCATTGCCCATTTTTTCATTGGGTTGCTGATTCTACAGGAGTTTAGTTTTTTGAGCTCCCTATATATTCTGTTTATTAATGCCTTGTCAGATGTATAGCTGGCAAAGATTTTCTTCTACTTTATTATCTATCTTTTCAGTCTAGTTGTCATTAGACTACTTTCCTTTGCCATACAGAAACTTCTTAGTTCGATCCAGTCCTATTTGTAAATCCTGTCTCTTATGTGCTGAGCTATTGGAGTTCTATTCAGAAAGTAATTGTCATGTCTGTGTATTCTAGTGTTTTCTCTATTTTTTTGTAGTAATTTCAAAGTTTACATTGAGATTTTTGATCCATTTTGAATTGATACTAGTACAGGGTGAGCAACAGCAATACAGTTGCAGTCTTCTACATGAGGATATCCAGTTTTTCTAACCATTTGTTGAAGAGGCTGTCTTTTCTCCAATGTATCTTATGGGCTCCTTTGTCAAAAATTAAGTGACTGTAGCTACAAGGATTCATCTCTGTGTCTTCTATTCTGTTCCATTGATCTTCTTATCTGTATTTTTTGCCAGTATCATGCTGTTTCTATTTTATGGCTTTGTAGTATAGTTTGAAGTCAGGTATTGTGATACCTTCAGTGTTGCTCTTTTTGCTCAGGATTGCTCTGGCCAATTGAGGTCTTTTGCACTTCCATGTACATATTTTTGGACTGATTTCTTTTTATCTCTGTGAAGAATGTCATTGAAATTTTGATGGGTGTTGCATTGAACATAAAGATTGCTTTTGGTAGTGTAGCCATTTTTACAATATTAATTCTGCTAGTCCATGAGGATGGGAGATCCATCTTCTGGTGTTGTCTACTATTTTTTACTTCAGTGATTTATAATTTTCATTGTAGAGGTCTTTCAGTTCATTAAGTTTACTCATATCTAGATATTTTTGAGGCTGTTGTGAATGGAATTGTTTTCCTGATTTCTTTCTCAGTCTGTTCGTTGTTGGTATATAGAAAAGCTACTGATTTTCTGTATTTTTATATTCTGCTACTTTGCTGAAAGTGTTATGATGTCTAAAAGTTTTTTTGGTGGGGTCTTTTTTTAGGGTCTTTTAGGTATAAGGTAATATCATCTGAAAATGGGAATAATTTGACTTCTTTCCTCCCTATTTGAATCACTTTTATTTGTTCCACCAGCCTTATTGCTCTGACTAGGAATTCCAAAGCTATATTGATGGGCTGGTGGAGTGACTCAAGTGCCTACTACCAAAGCTATATTGAATAAAAGTCAGGAGAGTGAACACCCTTGTCTTGTTCCTGACTTTAGAGGAAGTGGTTTCAGTTTTTCCCCATTTAGTATGATGCTGGCAGTAGGTTTGTCATATAACGGTTATTATGTTGAAGTAAATTTCTTCTATTCCTAGTTTTTTTAGAGCTTTTATCATGAAAGAATGTTGAATTTTGTCAAAGACTTTTTCTCCACTTATTGAGATGATGGTGTGATTTTGTTCTTGACTCTTTTTCTGTGTTGTATTACGTTTGTTGATTTGCGTGTGTTGAATCATTCCTCCATCTCTGAAATGAAACTGACTTGATCATGGTGTATGATATTTTTAACGTGTTGTTGAATTCAGTTTTTATTGGGAATTTTTACATCTATGTTCATTAATGAGATTGGCCTATAACTCTCCTTTTTTGTTGTGACCTTGTCCAGTTTTGGAATGAGTATAATACCGACTTCATACAATGCGTTTGTTAGCATTCCTTTTCTTTCTATTGTATGGAGAAATTTGACCAAACCAAAAGTTTGACTGACCCTTGGCACATATAGTTAAGAATTGCTATTTCTTCTTGATGGATTGTTTCCTTTATTAATGTGTGTGACCTTTGCTGGGCGCCAGTGGCTCACACTTATAATCCTAGCTACTCAAGAGACAGAGCTCAGGAAGGTCATGGTTAGAGGCCAGCCTGGGCCCCAAAAACAAACAAACAAAAGAAACCCTATCTCCAAAAATACCCAATGCAAAAAATGGCTGGTGAAGTAGCTGAAGTGGTAGAATGCCTTCCTAGCAAACCTGAGGCTATGTACCCCTGTACCACCACACCCCAGTACCACCACCACCAAAAAAAGTAGTGACCTTCATTGTCTCTTCTGTCTACTTTTTGTCTGAACTCTGCTTTATCAGATAGGACTATAGCTACTTCTGCCTGCTTTTAGGGTCTATTTACTTGAAAGATCTTTTTCCACCCTTCTTCTCTAAGCCAGAGTTTGTCGGTGAAATGTGTTTCTTTTATTTATTTTTTATTTTCTTGAAATACATTTCTTGTAAGGAACAAATAGTTGGGTCTTGCTTTTTAATCCAGTTCACCATTCTAGGTCTTTTGATTGGAGAATGAGGCCATTCATGGTCAGTGTTAATACTGAACAGTGTGTGATATTTCCAGTCGTTTTCTTGTTTTTCTAATGTTTACTTTTCCCATATTTCTCGTTTGCTAATCTACTTGGTTAATGGGGTGTATTCTTTCTTGCATTTTCCTGGTTGTATCTACCTTCTTCTCTGTGTAGGATTTCTTTTAAGTATTTTCTGTAGTGCTGGTTTGGTGGTCATGAGATATATCATTCCATGCCCTCCTTGAATTTAGGGTTTGTGTTGAGAAATCTGCTATTATTCTGATGGGCTTTCCTTTATGTGTAACCTATTGCTTCTCTTTTTCAGCTTTCAACATTTTTTCTTTGTTCTTTATATTTAGTGCTTTAAATGTGATATGTCTAGGGATGTTTCTTTTCTGATCCTGCCTGTTTGGTGTCCTGAGAGCCTCCTGTACCCAGATATCCCTCCCTTTCTTGAGATTGAAAAAGCTTTCTGCTGTTATGTTATTGAGTAAGTTATGTATGCCTTTAGTTTATGTCTCTCCTCCTTCTGTATCCATTATTTATAGGTTTGGTCTTTTGATGGTGTTCCAGAAGTCTTAATATTTTTTCATTGTCTTTGATTGATCAGATTCCTCTACTTTGTCTTCCATCCCTGATAATGTATTTTCAACCTGCTCCACTCTGTTGTCCAGTCTTCCTTTGTTTTTGTTTTTTAGCAGCACTGGGGTTTGAACTCGGTCTCACACTTGCTAGGCAGGTGCTCTATTACTTGAACCACTCTACCAGTCCTGTTTTGTGTTGGGTTTTTTCAAGATAGGGTCTCATGAACTATTTGCCTGGGGCTGACTTCAAATGGTGATCCTCCTGATCTCTGCTGCTGAGTAGCTGGGAATGTTTCTTACTATGGCTATATTTAATCTGTTCATTCTAATGCTCCATAGTACCTCATGGTCTTTGCATTTGGTATTCCTTTGGCTGAAATACTCTTTTCAGATATCTGTATGACTTACTCCTTTACTTCCTTCCAGTCCTTGCTCACATGCCGACCTGTTGGCAGAAACTTGTCTGTCTTATCAAAGAGCAGCCATTCCATCCCGATTCTTCTTCCCCATTATCCTGCTTTTATTTTCTGCCCTATCTCTTTACCATTACCTAGCATGTAGGGTTTTTTTTTTTTTTATAATTATCAGTCTCCTCCAATACAATGTAAGTTCCATGGGAGCAAAGACCTAATTTTGTTCATTACTGTGTCTGTAGAATTGTGCCTGACATGGAGTAGGTCCTCACATATCTGAATAAATTATTAAATAAATGAATAAATGACTGACCTGTCTCTATTAGTTATAATCTACAAATGTAGATGTTTGTGCTTCTGAAATTAAGCTAGGCATAAGTAACCTGGAAAGTAAACATAAACTACAAGATAGATACTTTCCTAGACCTTTACTTTTTTAAATAGAAAGTTTTGTTTAAAAAAACCTCCTACCCTTGGGATATGGCTCAAGTGGTAGAATGCTTGCCCAGAAAACACAAAGCCCTGAATAGTAAACCCTAGCATTGGGGTGGAGGGAATCCTTCTAGTAGAACAAACATGACTGTAAGATGTGGTAAAATGAGAAGTGAAATTTGTGCTTAATTTATTTATGGATTATTGTCACATACCAAGCATATAGAACTGTGCCTTACACATAGTAAGCATTTAGTATTTATTAAACCTCCAGGTATATTCACTCTTCTCTGCTCTTGGTGATACTTCATTGGAAAAATTTGGAAAATTAATAGTTTAAATGATACTTTCACATAGTTTTCAGGTCATTGCATTATATACTTTGCTAATTGATGTGTTTGTGGTAAATGTTTTATCAATTATCAATGTAAGGAGAGTGAAGAATAACATTTCTTTGACATATTAGGCATTAAATAGTTTTACAAGTGAGAAGCCAAGGCACATAAAGAAGTTAAGTTAACCAAGATCCCAAAGCTAGTAAGTGGCACTTCTCAGAGTTCCCGCTCTTAACTGTTGTTAGTTATCTGCTGTTGCAATACAAATTATCCCAAAACTTTAAAAAATAAACATGTTATTTCTCAATGTGTCTGTGGGTCAGGCATCTACAAGTGGCTTTACTGGAGGGATCTGGCTTAAACCCTCTCAGTAGAGATGTCCTATTTCAGTAAAGATGTCCTGAGGAACTGCAGTTATCTGAAGGCTTTATGGAGCTAAAAGATCTGTTTCCAGATGGTTCGTTCACATAGATGGCAAACTTGTGCTGACTTTTGGCAGGATGCCCTCGTTCTTCACCACAGAGATTCTCAGTAGGGCAGCTTGAGTATTCCTATGATGCAGCAGTATCTTGCTCCAAAGCAAGTGCTCCAGGAGATTAAGGAGGAAGCTATAGTGTCTTTTAAGAACTAGCCTTGGGAATTACATGCTGTCATTTCCACAATATGAGTATTAGGAGATAGAAATCACTGGGGTCATATTAAAGGCTGAGTACCTCAATTAGATCATACTATTCAATTTTAAAATATGCATACAAGTCTGTAGAACATATATTATTACCTTCACTTTATAGGTGAAGTTTTATAGTTTGCCCAAGATCACACAGCTAAGTAAATAATGGAAGTCATATTCAAATCTGTCTCATCAGGAACCAGTGATTTTTGCACTACGATGTATAGCCTCTCAATTAACAAGTCATTTAGGTACTAAGACTTTAAGAAAATAAACTTTAAAATAAAACTTTGACTTTAATAATGCCTTGGTGTTTTTCAGCAGGCCTTATGCCAATGCAGCAACAAGGATTTCCTATGGTTTCTGTCATGCAACCTAATATGCAAGGCATAATGGGAATGAATTATGGCTCTCAAATGTCCCAAGGACCCATTGCTATGCAGGTACTTGCCTCTTTAGTTGATTGTTTATAAAGCCATTGTTTGTTGTTGGATGTCTATATACTAAGAACTACATGCTTTTATTTTTTTTCTGGTACTGGAATTTGAACTCAGGGCTTCTCGCTTGCTAGGCAGGTGCTCTACTACATGAGCCATGTCTCCAGCTCAGGATCTAAGAATTTAATATAATATTTACAAATTTACAATTAATTTGCATTTTTTTGAGATGGGGGTGCTTGCTGTATTGCCCAAGCTGAACACCTGAGCTCACAGGATCTCCTGCTTTAGCCTGCAAGTATCTAGAACTACAAGCACATACCACTGTGCCCTTCTTCTTTTTTGCTCCTACCCTTCACCCCTTTGGCAGTTCAGGGGATTGAACATACTAGACAAGTGCTCTAAAGACCTTTAAAATATGAGTTATTGGAATCAACAGGATAGACCGTGTAACTATATTTTCTATGATCTAAGAAATAAAAGCTAGAGTGGAAATTTTGGGCACTGAACTCAAATTCTAAAAAGTGACAACAGATCTAAACAATTTCAGAATTGAAAAATATATTAACCAAAAAAATTCTATGGAGGGTTTAACAGCAGATTAGAAATGGCTGGAGAAAGAATTAGTAAGAACATGGCCAGGAGACACTGTCTAGAATACAGACAAAATGAAAAGAGAAAATATGTGAAAGATTTTGAAGGTACAAGAAAAGACCTAATAAGTGTTTAGTTGGAATCCTAGAAGGAAAAGAGGAAGATAAGAAAAAGAATAGCTAAGAAGTTTCCTGAAGTGTTGAAAGATGCTGATGCACAGATTTCAGGAAGCCTAATAAATCCAAACATGATTGCATTAGTTATGTATTGCTATATCACAGATTACTCCAAAACTTAGAAGTATAAAATAGCAACAAATATCTCAACAGTCCCGGAAGTTGGGCTTTAGATGGATAGTTCTGGTTTAGTCTTCCATGAGGTTTCGGTCAAGATGTTAGCTTGAGGATACATTCATGCAAAGGCCTCACTGAGATTAGAGGGTCTGCTTCCAAGGGTCCTACTCACATGGCTGGTAATTCAGTGCTATCTTGTGGGCCTCCATTTCTGTGGACTTCTAGTTGAAGAGTTTCTATTGGACCTCTCCAGAGCAAATGACTTCAGGGGACTGCAGAGTCTTTTCTGACCTAGCCACAGATTATCACTTCTCCAGTATTGGGACTACTACATAAGGGCATAAATACCAGACAGAATAAGTAAATGGAAATCATAGAGAAACCAGGATACCATACCAAGGAATTGACAAGTAAAATACTTAAGAATGTTTTACAAAGCTATCTAATATTGAACCTTGGGCTCCAAGCTGAGCAGCTGCTGAGCAAGAAGAGAAGTGAGGCCATGATGAAGATGATGGATAGTAGGGAAAGTGGTAAAATTAACAGATGGAAGGTGTTAATGAGAGAAGAATTTCTGGTGTAGATGAGACTGGAAGTATAGGAGGTGGTAGTAAACTGTTGGCATACTTAAAAAGTTTGGAGATGATTCAGTTGATGCTGATAGATCAAGGATATGAGTATGGGATGGGAAGATAAAATAATATGTTGGAATGTTGGATATAATTGGTGCTGTGGTGAGAAAGTCAGAGACCTAATAGGCTACAGATGACTCATCCATGTGATTCTTGATGTCACCAACATCAGTTTAGGGGTAGAATGGAAGAAGAAAAAAAGTTCTGAAGTCTTCAGTTGAAAAGCGAGGGTCAGGTATGACAGCACAGGCCAGTACTCCCAGCTACTCAGGAGGCTGAGGCAGGAATATCATGAGTTCAAGACCAGCATGGGGAACATAGTGAGACCCTGTCTCAAAAAAAAAAAGATAAAAGAAGACTGAGGAAATTGAAGGTCAGTAGATGACATGAACGAGGTGCAATAATAACTGATAAAGTCACGGCAAAAAATTAGAATGTATTCAGGTTGTTAAAGAAAAAGGAGAAAATGTTTAGAAGAGGAAAGGAGGACTATTCGTCATGTTCAGGAAATGTAGAAGCAACAATCTCCACGTGAGAGGGCTTCAGGAAATAAGCAGAGGTGAAACATTCAGGAAGAAGGCTTGTACTCAGTAAGAATTGGCTGTTATCGTTGTGATCATAATTTTAATACTAGATTTTATGATAGTCATTGTATTATAGTATTACTTCTGGACACATCAGTAAACTTTATAGTGTTATATTGGTGCATCATTTACTCTTGTTTAAATCCAATTCATTTTCTGTAGATGTTTGAGTATCAGGTCTGTGAAAATGAATAATGAATAATATTAATAAAATAATAAATAAAAATATTTATCTTATATATATTGGGAATCAGGTTTGATTTTATTTGTGAAATGAAATATACCATATGCCAGGCTCTTATCTGTTGCTGAAACAGAAACATATGTGATGTGATACCTCTTCTTAAGGCATGTGGGTTAATGCATTCACAGGAATATACCCGTGTGTGCTTCCATACACAGCCAGAAGGATTTTATATACACACTTCCTCTCAGACTATTAGCAGTGAAGGAACTAGAGATGCTTTCCATTTTTAGCCTGTGTTCTTTGGATCTTTTGTTATTATAATGTGTTGTATAGGTTACTAATAAAAATATTAAGAAAGAATGTGTACAAGTTAGACTTTACTTTGTAATAATGAAAAAGAAAAATTACATATTTTTAATCCTTTCTCTATTTCTTCTAGACAGGGATACCAATGGGACCAATGCCAGCAGCAGGAATGCCTTACCTAGGACAAGCACCATTCTTGGGCATGCGTCCTCCAGGTCCACAATATACCCCAGATATGCAGAAGCAGTTTGCTGAAGAGCAACAGTAAGAGACCACCAGTATTGAAGGATAACAGATACATAATAGCTATTTAGAGATTGTCACATAATCTGTAGTACAGATTTAAGATGAAATAGTCAAGTTGCATTTAAAACTCATTATAATACTTTTTATTATTTTGAGACTGGGCTCTTTAAAATACTTTTATTAGAAGTTTAGAGCCAGCTAGGTATGATGGCACACACCTATGATGACAGCAGCTCAAGAGGTTGAGGCAGGAGAATTGTGGATCCAAATACTGATCCCCTGATTCTTAGAGCATTGCTCTTTCTCCTGTAGATAATGCCCTCCCAAGGAAATTTCTCTTCTGTTGTTTTTGGGGTTTTTTTTTTTTGAGACAGAATCTCTCTATAGTCCAGGCTGTCCTAGAACTTTCAGTTGTCTTGCCTCAGCCTCCCTAGTGCTGGGTTTATAGGCATATACTACCATACTCAGCCCTAAATGTATTTTGGTGGTGCTGGGGATTGAAGCCGGAGCCTTGAACAAGCTAGGCATGTGCCCTACCACTGAACTACATCCCTAGCTCAAGATTTTTTTTTTTGTTTTTTTGCCAGTACTGGTGTTTGAACTCAGGGTCTCACACTTGCTAGGCAGGCATTTTTACCACTTGAGCCATTCTACCGGCTTCAAGATTCTTTTTTATTCACAAAGCAAAGCATGTTTTTATGTTTTTCTGCCTCTCTAGTTTTTGAGATTGTTTTCTTTTAACATATTATAGTTGTACAGTGGGATAATTGTGACATTTATATATGTGCTAACAATATATCTGAATTATATTGACCCCTCTATCTTTCTTCCTCATTCTCCCTCTCCCCTTCTTAGAACAATTTCAAAAGGTTTCATTGTTCTATTTTCATACATGAATACAAAATACATCCATACTTTCTTTATACCTTCCCCCTCCCCCTGGTACCCAACCCCAGGCAGGACCTGTTTTACCTTCCTGTCCTTCCTTTAAAAAAAGAAATTGTTAATATATGAAAGATTACTTTTATATGCAAAGATTATTTCCTCTAGAACTAAGGTGTAGCTCAAATGTTGAAATGCTTGCCTAGCATGTATGAGGCCCTGGGTTTGATCCCTAGCACCCCGCTCCCAAAAAAAAAAAAAAAAGATTGTTTCTTCTTGCAAATTAAATAAGAAATAAATACATGTACATAATTTAAGTAAACAATTGTTTAGATTCATTTCAAATATTTTAGAATAACAGTAGTGAGGAAATGGACTGATATAAGTTAGGAGTGAAGATTATAGTTCTAGAAATGCAAGATGGTATTTCTGAAACTGGTGAATATAGCAGTTGATCCTTGAACTGATCTTTATTAGATTGTTTTTTGTTCAGAAAACGATTTGAACAGCAGCAAAAACTCTTAGAAGAAGAAAGAAAAAGACGCCAGTTTGAAGAGCAAAAGCAAAAGCTCAGACTTCTGAGTAGTGTGAAACCTAAGGTAATACATTCACCATCTCTCCCTTCCCCATAAACCCCTGGAATGTGCCTCCTCTCACTCATTCATTGTATTTTATCACTGAGGCACCAGCCAAGGAGAGGCTGTAGTGGATTCCTTTCATTTGGTTTACCTCAAATCTTTACCTTAAGTGAAAGATTTTTCTTTTCTGTAAAGATCCTTGTTTTTGCAAGAATAGGGTATCAGCCTTTATCTTCTCAACTTTGTTTTTACTATCATGCAGTGCTTGTAATTTTTTCTTGGGAAACATTAATCTTAAATGTAGTGATATAAAATGGAACACAAAACACTTAATATCTAACAGCCCTATCCTAAAGTATTTATGGATGAACCTTTTAATATTTCCATGTTCTGTGGAGTGTCATTTTATGTCTTTTTAAAATATTTATCAGTGTCTTTCTGACTTTGAAAATTCACTAGAATGGTAAGAATATTGAAAGTAGATTAACAGCTGTGCTTTTAATTTGGGAGGGTTTAAAACAAAGTTAGAGATAAAAGAAGAAATACACATATATTTATTGTCTCTTTAGACAGGAGAGAAGAGTAGAGATGATGCTTTGGAAGCCATAAAAGGAAACTTAGATGGCTTTTCCAGAGATGCTAAGATGCATCCTCCTCCAGCTTCGCACCCCAAGAAACCAGGTAGTTTTAAGTTTAAAATTAAAAATTTGTTTTCATAGAGCTGGGGGCATGACTCAAATGGTAGAGTCCCTGCCTAGCAAGCATAAGGCCCTGAGTTCAAACCTCAGTACTGCCAAAAAAAAGCAAAACAAAACCTTTTTCTTTTCTTGGAAGGCAGTTTATAGCTGTGTGTTTAATTGACCATTGCATGTGTGAAGAGTCATTGCTAAACTCTTCCTTAAAGCTAGGTACAGATTTGAATATTTTAAAATTTAAAAGATCTGATCTAGATTACAACTGTCTTTGAAGGGGAAAAAAATCTCAGTCTTCTAGTTAAATATCAATTTGACAAGTTCATTTGCAATAAATCTGTGTTTAAAGCCATGCACAGTGGCTCATGTCTGTAATCCTAACTACTTCAGAGGAGGAGATTGGGAGGATTATGGTTTGAAGCCATCTCCCCCCAAAATTCACAAGACCCCATCTCAACCAATAAAAGCTGGGTGTGGTGATGCATGCCTGTCATCATAGGACATAGGAAGCGTCAGTAGGAGGATCGAGGTGAGGATCTATGAGACCCTATTTGAAAAATAACTAAAGCAAAATTGGTTGGGGGAGAGGCTCAAGTGGTAGGGCACCTGCCTAGCAAGCACAGGGCCCTGAATTTAAACCCCAGGACCGTCAGAAAAAAAAAAAAAAGAAAAGAAAACTCCCATATATAAATGAGTATGCTAGTATTAGTAAAGCTGTTGAATCAAAGCAGATGGAATGAAGAAGTTTACTATTTCATCCTCACTGTTTTGAAATAATTTTACTTTTTTGTGAGCTAGTTCAGCTTTTATTCATTGTGATGAAATTTACAAATTCTTAAATGCTCCATGGGTTTCATATTGCTCCTCATGAAATTCTAGTTTGCTTAATAAATTTCTTTCTAATTTTTATCATCAAATAAGCAAAAATGTATCTGGTTAAAGAACACTAAAGGAATTATTTTAAATGTTTAATGATTGGAGTGTTATCAAATAGTTTTTAAAAATTCAATATTTTGACATTTTATTAGATAATTTCAATAATGGCATCGCATTAGTAGGTGAACGGTTTTCACAAATCATTCAGGCAACCAAGAATCTAGTATCTTCTGATGGAAAATATATTGATAATTTTTATCTTAAGCCCTTGAATTATAGTACCACTTATATGTGATATCACGAGAAATTAATCTAATATTGGCATTGTTACCAATTCCTGACTTTAAAGGACAGCTTTGACTCTGTCCCTATTAATTTTACTGATTAGATTATACACCTAGATTATCATTCCAAAAATATGCCCTGAAGTAAAGTATATATCAGGATTAAAAGGCAAATGAATATTAGCAATCATACTTTGATCAGAAAGGGAAAACCTATCTAAAAATGAAAATTATAAACCATATAAGCTAGTCAAGAAGTGATTTGGCCCACCACTGCAAAAAAAATTTTCTTAAAGAGTTAATATTAAAACTGGACCTGGCACCAAACTTAGTTAAAGGAGAGGAAGGCAGAGAGGAATGGTCATTGTTAGGTCAATGTTCTATCCATATAGAATGACCTTTTCAGCATCCAGCTATAGTTCAACAGTAAGTATTAACGATGAGGAAGATCCATCGCTAAGTTACAAATTGGTGTTTGGATGTTCAGATTTTCAGAGTTCAATCAGCATACTCACTATTTGCAATCTCTAGTTGACCACTTCATGCTGAGTCAGAAAAAGATTATTCTGAAGCAAGCCCAAGAGGATTCCAGAGCCTCTCCAGTTATGGTCTTAAATCTAGTCCTGAAGTATAAATAAAGAGTTTTTAGCTTTTTTACCACCAAAAAGCATCTTTTAATATTCCTCCATAGACTTTTTATCTTAAAAAAGTGGAATATAGCAGAATTTTTGTGTTTCTTATTAATCTAATAGCTGTGAGAGTGTATAAGCTGAAATATAAAACAAATAGAATTAACATAATTCCTGCCAAATGAAAAAAACAAAATTCTGATTTAGTCTTTGCAGTATATTACTAGTAAATAGCCAGAGTCCATTTTAAATTTTATCAAAATATTATTCAAAAAATTAAAAAAATTGTTCAAAGCAGTTGAGAACCCAAATTGAGAACTAAACCAAATTGGTAACTATTGTTGGGAGGTTTATAATTCAATATGGCATGATTTTAAACAAAAAATAACTACAGCAAATACAACAATAATTTTGCATATTCATTTTGCATCTTTCATAGAACTTTTGATGTTCTAGGTTTCATTTTCTTGATCCTAAAGAGAGGTAATATGCATGGAATATCCCTAATTTTTCAGATGAGAGACTGCTTCTTGTAATGTTGTAGACTTTAGTGGATATTAAAGCCATTCAAAGTAGTTAAAAGTATGAAGAAGCAACAATAAAATAGTATTTTTTTTTTAATTGTAGCTCTTTTTTTGGGGTGGCAGTGGTAGTGGGGTTTGAACTCAGGGCAGTTCAAACACTTGCTAGGCAGGCACTCTACCACTTGAGCCATTCCTCCAGTCCTAAAATAGTATTATTAATGAGCTTCATGTGAAATGTAGCTCCTGTAGAGCAGGTTTATTACGTAAGTGACCTTAGACTTCACAATAAAAAGCCATAGTAATCTTTACAAGAGTACATAGTCTTCAGTCAAGGTTTACTTTCTTGTATTGACCGTTGAGTTGTTTCATTCATCACTTTGCAGTATCCCAGTTTTCATAAGAAAGTAACACCTTGATGTATTTAGTTTTCTTTTATAATATTCATTCCTCATATAGTAACTTTACTAAGATGTAATGTTTACAAAGTACATGGATCAGACATGATATAACAGAAATTACAAGTTTGTGTTGTGTGTTGTTTCTTACAGAATTTCTCACTAAATTTGTAAGATTTAAATGTCAGAGAATGTCTGCCAAAATGTATTCAGCACATAGAAAGGCTTTCCTATATTTGGTATATAGTGGCTTGAGAGAATATTATCTATATCAATGGAACATTTGGATGTCAAAAATAGAAAAATAGTTATTTATCTCTTTTATATAAATTTATTTGCAGTCTCAGGAAAAGGAAATGAGAACTAACCTGATAAAAAGAAGGAAATTTTGAGTTAACTTTTTTCTATTTTTGAACCAAATGCAAAATAGGTATAAAACCTCTTTTTAAAGAGACATAAAATTAGCCAGGCACCAGTGGCTCATGCTTATGATCCTAGCTACTTGGGAGGCTGAAATTGGGAGGATTGTGGTTTGAGGCCAGCCAGAGCAAATAGTTCACAAGACCCCATCGCCAAAATAACCAGAGCAGAATGGACTGGAGCTGTAGCTCAAGTGGTAGAGCACCTGCTTTGTAAACAGAGGCCCTAAGTTCAAATCTCAATCCCATGGGGGAGAAAAAGACATAAAATTGTATATAAATAGACATCAAATTGTGTTGCATGCATTGTAGAATTCCACTTTACCGTTATTCTCTTATTCGCCTCCACTATTCATATGTCAGTGTGTTGTTTTGGAGTTGTACTACATCTTAATTCTTTTTCTCTGTTGATTTTCATCTGCGTGTTTCATTGCCATTTTCCATTTTGCAGATTGTCCCACATCATCTCATTCAGCTAAAACTGTTTCCCCATCACTTGCCTTTCTTGATGAAGAAGAATTCAGTGACTTTATGCAGGGGCCTGTGGAAGTTCCCACTTGTGGGCCTTCTTCCACAGCCCAGCCATTTCAGTCTTTCCATCCTACCATCCCACCTGGCCAGTTGCTTACACAGAAGGCTGGAGTACAGCCTCTCCCTCCAAGCCAGATTCCAGTGTCTTTTGCCTTACATGGCGTCCCTGGGCAAATTCCTTATTTCTCTACTGCTTCAGCTTCACACAGTGTGCAGAAAGCAGGTAACTCCCAGCATTATTAATGAAATTATTCTTGAGATATTCTAGGTTAATTTATTTCTTTTATATGAACAGACTAATACAGTGATGTTGGCAAAGAAACATGTATATGAATATATGAGCACTGTTAAAATTTATTAAAACAAGAGTCTAGGTTTTTATGTTCTAGGGCCCGCACATGCCAGAAAAATGATTTAAAACTTTTTGCTACTAAGTTAGAAACCATTTAAACCATCTTAATACTTCAAAAACAAACTGATTTAAGATTAATGTTTTGTTTGGGAAAATTACCAATATTGTTTTCTTAGGAATAATGAGCTTAGGAAAGTTCATTTATAAAGTGTTCTTTTAAGCTTGGCATGAGAGCTCATACCTTTAATCCCAGCACTTGGGAAACTGTGGAGAGAGGGCCAAGAGTTGAAGCACAGACCCAGCCTGGCTACATAGAGAGACCCTGTCTTTAAAAAAAGAAAAGAAACAAAAAGTTCTTTCTGGTTCAGTGACAGAGCACTTGAGGGCAGAAGCCCAGATGTTCACTTACTATCAATTTGTCCTTGAACAAGTCTTTTAAACATTTCTGTGCCTCTGTTTTTATTATCTGTGAAATGATGGGGGGCAGTTACCCACTCTGTCTTGATAGTGCTGGAAGTGATCTTGGCAGGCACATACTTAGTCCTTCTTTCTCATTTGACAGGTGTAAAAACAGACACAAAGATGATATTACTGCGCATAGACGTGCCCAGTAGTTGTAAAAGTGTCTGTATCTTGTAGGGGACCAAATTTGTAAAGTAGTGCTCCTTCCACTACACTGTTCTACCTGTTATCTCATAGGATTCTTGAGAATCAGAGTAGATAATTGTGTTTAAGTTCTCTCAAATCTCTGAAGTCTCTCAGGTCCTACACAAATAGGTTGTGATTGAATTATTCCAAATTTGCATTATGTGTGGTAGGATCTTCCCTTTAGAATATGAGGGTGGGAAGGGATGATTGAAGTGCTTGAAAATATGTATTTATATACAAATAATCCTTCATGCTGTTTGTTTAGGCCCATCCTTGGAGGAGAAGCTCCTAGTGTCTTGTGAGATAAGTACATCTGTGCAGGAACAAATTAAATTAAATACTTCTGAAGCTGGGCACAAAGCCTTAGGCCCAGGTTCCCATAAGAACCCTCCCAGTTTAACGGCCAATAACGGGGTTGCTGTAGATGGATGTGTAAATGGTACCACCACTGCAGAGACAGAAAAGACTTCAGATCAAAACCTGTCAATTGAAGAGAGTGGTGAGCTCATGAAACATTCAACAAAAAATTTATTTAACCAAATGCTGCTCAAATGCTAACACTTTAAGCGTTAATTTAAAAATGAATGCTGCTTGATTTTGCTAATTAAAATTTTGCTTAAATATATTTAATGCAATCCTTTCTCCAATTAACCCCTAAAATTTTGTACTGAATTCTTTGACCACATGTTATTCCTTTTCCAAAAATGATTTTGATAACCAGTTTTCTTAATCAGAATCATTCCTGACTTAAAATTTTATTTTATTTTATAAAAACTTTTTTCCCTTACATTATCTGGTCTTCCGTTAAAGTTGAAAATCTAAGATATAAGTGGAAAAGTCACCAGTGAAAATATAGCTTTGCTATTTCTGAAATAAATCGTAGCTAGGCACAGTGGCAGTATCTGTAATCCCAGCACTTGGGTGGCAGAGCAGGACAAAATAAGTAAGCAAGTAAGTAAATAAATAAATATAAAAGCTTGGGCAAGTAAATTTTACACATATATAATTATTAAGCCACCATGTATCATATTTTTCCTTTAATTTGTAATACATGTGAAATGTATACAAGTCTCCTATGATTGAGACTATTGATTTGGTACATTTTAATTTTTCTTTAATTTATTCTCCAGAACATAGTTACTGTGTAGTTGTAGAAACCAAATCCTTTAGTTGTATTGGTGACTTTTTTCTGGTGTCTCCAGCTCATACTTTTCTTTATAAAAAGCCATGACTCAGTGAGATCTTTCTCTATCTTCTCCATGGCCCATTATGTGTATTAATGCTCCTTATCTTCTAGGTGTGGGAGTATTTCCCTCGCAGGATGCAGTTCAGCCCAGAATGCCTCCTTGGATCTACAATGAGAGTTTGGTTCCAGGTAAACAAAAGCTTCTTCGCCCAGGATTCCCATCTGGATATTTTGCTTTAAATGTTATAGATGTAGTTGTAAGTATTTACTGTTGTAGTTACAAATATGTAGGAGGATTATTACTTACCTCTTTTTTTCCTGAAATAATAAAGAAAATTAATTAGATCTCATGTTTAAGACTGCCTCCTATATGGAATAACTACATAAATGGAGGAGAAATGTTTTGCTTTAATATTTATTGACCATGATATACTTTAAGTTTCTAAAAAGCTTTCTTAAGCCAAATTTACTTCTGTAATTGCAGCACTTAGGAGACTGTGGCAGGAGGATTATAATTTTAAGTTCAGCCTGGGCTACATAGCCAGACCCTGTCTCAAATACAAACACATAAGGCAGGTCACAAAAATCTTCTACATTGTATGTGTTCAACTTTTTTTTTTGTAGTACTGGGGATTAAACTGAGGACCTTGTACTTGCTAGGCAAGTGCTTTATTACTTGAGCTATGCTCCCAGCCCTTTTTAAAAAAATTTTTTTTTGAGATAGGGTCTCATTAACTTTGTCTTGACTGGCCTCAAACTCGAGATACTCCTGGTTCTGCCTTCAAGTAGCTTGGTATTATAGGCCCGTACCACCACACTTTTTGTTGGTGGGATTGGAATTTGAACTGAGGGCCTTGAGCTTGCAAGGCAGTGCTATACCACTTGAGTCATACTCCCCAGCCCTTTTTACTTTAGGTTATTTTTCAGATAGGGTCTGTGCTTTTTGTTTAAATCTTTTTTTTTTTTTTTTTTGCATTACTGAGAATTGAGGGTCTTGTGGTTTTGCCTGGGGCCTGCCTGAGACCTTAGTCCTCCTACCTTATGGCTTCCTGCATGGCTAGGGTTACAGACATAAACCACTATGCCCAGCTTGTTTGTTGAGATGGGTCTCACTAACTTTTTGCCTGGACTAGTGTCAAACTTTGATCCTTCCAGTCTCTGCTTCCCAAGTAGCTGAGATTACAGGCATGAGTCTCTGTGCCTGGCAATAATTTGTTGTTGTTGTTGTTGGGACTGGGGTTTGAACTCAGGGCTTCACACTTGCTAAGCAGGCTCTTTAAATCTTAAGTCACACTTCCAGTCCATTTTGCTGTGAATTATTTTGGAGATGGGGGTCTTGTGAACTATTTGCCCAGGCTGGTCTCAAATCCCAATCCTCCTAGTTTTAGCCTCCCAAGTAGCTAGGTTTACAGACGTGAGCCAGTGGCACCCTGCCAATATTTTAATTTTTAATAAAAGGGCTTTCTTAGAGGGCGGGTGGAGTGGCTTAAGTGGTAGAGCGCTTGCCTAATAAGTGTAAGGCCCTGAGTTCAAACCCCAGTACCACCAAAGGGGGGGGGATTTAAAAAGGGCTTTCTTAGAGTTATCACATTTTAGAAGACATTATCCAGTATTTATTTCAGAGTTCATTAGCTACTTATCTAATATGTTGAATGGAAGTTTCTGAATAATCAATGGTTAGCTTATTTTTTTTAATATTCTTTTTATTGACTTATTTGTCATGTGCTACTGTGTGAAATAAGAGTGGGTGCCATTTTTTTCTACATTGTAAGGTGGTGTTTATTTTTTCCCTCATATGTATTATTGCTGCTGAGCTCCCTTAAAATTACTAAAATGCATTTTTATGACAGTATTCAATTGATGTAAGGAAATAGTCTATTTATGCTGATTTATTTGCAATAAATAATCACTGTTACAGTAGTACATATTAATCTTATTATTTCACATCTTGTTTAATTTATATTTTGCTAATATCTTTTAAGATAAAAGTAACTCATTAAGTCTTCAGTTTCTAGGTTGGTCGTAGGCTATGAAGTTGTTCTATACTTGATTAAATAAAGCACAAGATTTCTATAGTGAAACTTACTTTTAGAAGAAACTGGTCATGTCTACTTTATATTATCACATAATCAGAAATTAAAAGGCTAATTATTCCCCAAAATTATATGTGACTTCAACTGTACATAACAGTAATAAGTTTTCTTCCAACTTTTGTACTATCATATTATTGTTGTACTAGGAGTACAGTATGACATTTACAAAATGTATCTCAGTTAAATTCACCCCCTCCATCATTCTCCTTTATCTCCCCTCCTCCCATTTGAATAGTTTCAGTAGGTCTTATTTTTTCATTTTCATACATGAGCAGTATTCACCTCTACACCTTTTCCTTATATCTACCCCCTGCCACTGGTACCAACCCTCAGACAAGACCCGTTTAACCTACCTGTCCTCTGTTTTTGAAGAAATGCATTTTTGTTTGTTTAAGATAGCTGTAAAGGAAGTTTCATTATGACATTTCCATATATATGTGTGTTGTATCCTTAACTGGTTCATCCCCTCCATTTTTCTCCTTTCTATCTTAGTCCTCTTCTTATGGTGATTTCAACAAGTTTAAAAATTCTCTGTTCATTCTTGTATAGAAAAATACATCAACCGTACCTCTTCCTCTCTTTCTTCAAGCCAGATAAAAACTAGATATTATGTCTTTGAGTTTTATCCATCTTTTGCTGATTTGTATTTCGTTCTGTTTCCTTCTTTCACACTACAAAACATGTGTTCTATCAGAATATATGTTCTTCTGACCAGCCTACTAACCTGTAATCTGCATTTATAACCCTAGGTATAAAATTTTGTTTTAAGCATTTTTCTGCCTCCATTAGCCCTATGTATTTTCATTTCCAACAGCTCTCTATCTAGGCTTGCCAGATTTAGCATGTAAACATACAGTATGCCCAGCTAAATTTGAATTTCAGATAATAGCAAGTAATTGTTTAAAATTAATATGTCCCATGCAATATTGACATTTTTATTCTTTATTGGCAACCTTATCTCTAATAGCCTTTCCTACTTTGTCCTTTGGAAAACGCATGTTATTGTGAAAAACTCTCCAAAACACCAGTTCTGCTTCCTTGCCATCACTGCAACCAGGTCTTTTCCTGAAGACTCTATTGCCAGAGCACCTTCTACAATGGTGTTTTCTCAGAGCCTCTAATTCACTGGGCCAGGAGAAAGGTGGTGTGGTATAATTCTTGCTTCCTCTTGCTATCCTCAAACTATTCTACCCTCCATCTTATTATTGCATTTATTGTTTTTATCCAGAAAAATAGATAAAACTCAAAACATTGTTGTAATTTTCTAACGAATTATAGACTCTGTCTTACCTTCAGCCCTAAATCTTCAACTTTAGAACCAAGCTCTCAACTCTGTTCTGAGCTCCAAACTCTTGTCTGCTAGATATTTCCACTTGAATTTCTTTTTTTTTTTTTTTTTTTGAAAGAATCTTGCTATTGTTGCCTAAGCTAGCCTTGAACTTGCCCAGATTATGTAGTCTCAGACTCTCAATCCTCCTGCCTCAGCCTGCGGAGTGCTGGGAGTAGAGGCAAGAGCCACCACGTCTGACTCTATCTGTTCTGTTCTTAAGACTTGGTTATAACACAGGTATCTGTAACTAGACTTACCTTAACCAGTTTTTTGTTTTGTGGTGTTTGCATTACTGGGGTTTCAACTCAGGGCCTCATGCTTGGTAGGCAGGCACTCTACTACTTAAACTACTCCACTAACCTTGTTTTGTGATGGGTTTTTTTCAAGATAGAGTCTTTTGAACTATTTGCCTCAACTGGCTTTGAACCGCGATCCTCCTCATCTCTGTCTCCCAAGTAGCTAGGAGTCATTTGAATTTCTTTACAGCATTTCACACCCTGATGTGGCTTCAGTTTTATGAAAGCAGTTTGAGTTAAGATTATTCTTGTATGCCAATATTGACAACAAGAAATCACTTGCACTCTATTTGCATTTGTAATCTGATCTTTCCTTTAATAGATGCCTATAAGAAAATTTTAGAAACCACAATGACTCCAACTGGAATAGATACTGCTAAACTTTATCCCATTCTGATGTCATCTGGACTTCCCAGGGAAACTCTTGGACAAATATGGGCCTTAGCTAATCGAACTACACCTGGCAAACTTACTAAAGAAGAACTTTATACCGTTCTCGCCATGATAGCAGTAACACAGGTAAAAAATGTTTAAGATAGACCAAATAACTTTTTAATATAAATTGAAAGAATATGAATCCTTGATTACAACCTTGTAGAACCTTTGTACATTAAAATTTAGGTCATTTTTAGGATGCAGTATTTCAAAAATATATAGTTTATATGATGTACATACTAGGAAATTATCTCTTTATTTAAAGACTACTTAATATTATATTAACATTCTTTGGCCTCTCTTAAAAAGTTATTCTTTTGTCCTTTGAGGTCCATTTTAGCATTCCTTAAAGTAGTCTCAGTCTGGTAGCAGTTTTTCTTATATTAAAATTAGTTTAAATTATTCAGTTATAGTGACCTAATCAAACTTGTTAGAGGGAAAATGTCAGAATTAATGTGTGTTGACCATTTCTTTACTAAGTATTAGGTTTGTATTATCCTTGTCCCTTTTTTTTTCCCATACCAAATTCATGAGCTTTGGGAGTCAAGAGTCAGAATGGAAACAATAAGAGAGCTTCAGATTCTAGATTTAGGTCTATCTTTACTAGATTTTGTTTGTGGTTTGCAATTCCCTAAAATGTTTCCATTTTCCTCTTGTTCTATATAGAGGGGTGTTCCTGCCATGAGTCCTGATGCTTTAAGTCAGTTCCCAACAGCTCCTATTCCAACTTTAAGTGGCTTTTCCATGACTCTGCCTACTCCAGTGAGTCAACCAACTGTGATACCTTCAGGCCCTGCAGGCTCCATGCCTCTCAGCCTTGGACAGCCAGTCATGGGCATTAACCTTGTTGGACCAGTGGGTGGAGCTGCAGCCCCAGCTTCCAGTGGCTTCATGCCAACTTACCCAGCAAATCAGGTAATTGGAGAAGCCGGGCATATTCCAAATAATCCCTCAAAATACATTTGGACTTTTTCTTTAAAAAATTTATTTATTTGTTTGCTATACTAGGGCTTGAACTCAGGGACTTGCATTTGCTAGGCAGGCACTCTACTGCTTGAATCATGCCTCCAGCCCTTTTTGCTTTAGGTATTAATTTTAAGAAGGTCTCACATTTATACATTTATACCTGGGCCAGCCTGGACTATGATTCTCCTGTTTCTACTTCCAATATAGTTGAGATGACAGGTGTGCACCACCATGTCCTGTTTTTATTGGTTGAGATGGGAGTCTCACAAACTTTTTGCTCAGGCTGGCCTTGAATCACAGTCCTCTCAAGTAGCTAAGATTACAGGCATGAGCCACCACTCTCAGCCTAGACAACTCCCAGGGATTCATACTGCTGGATTCTGACAGACACTTGGCCTTAAAGTGAAACAGTACTGGGGCTAGGGGTTTATAAAGAAAATTTTAGAGTGGTAGAGTACTTACCTAGCATGTACAAGGTCCTGGGTTTGATTCCCAGCACCGCAGAATTTGAAACAATAATATATTTTTAAAAAACAGTGTAAAACTTACTTTTTCATTATTTAAAAAAATGATATTTCTTAAGCAGAAAGATATTTGAGTTTTGAATGAAGGTTTATAGTTCTTTATAGGATATACATTTTATATCTTTATAGGATATGCATTTTAAACATAAAACCTAATAAAGGTAATTAAATTCTTAGGTTGTATCTTTTGAGGAAACTACTAAACCTGAAATTAAAATACTTCAGTTTAGCTAAGCATGGTGGCACATCCTGGTTTTGCAGCTGGACCTTGTCTCAAAAAACAAAAAGCAAGAACTTCATTTTATTTTTTACTTCTCAGTGAAAATATTTAGTATCAGTGAAAATGTAGGTAAAAAGTAGCTAGTAAACTGTAGTTTTGTTAATGCAACCTTTTTGGAAGGCAAACTTGGCAATAGCTATCAAAATTCCGAATGTCCATATCTTGTGACTAGCAGTCACACTACTAGGAATCTGCCCCCAGAGATAGCAACTCAAATTAGTAAAAATACACAAGGGTATTTGTTGTAACATTGTTAGAGTACATTAGAAATTGCTCAGTGTGGCCTTATGTGGCAGCACAAACCTGTAATCACAGCACTTGGGAGGTAGAGGCAGAAGGATCACAAATTCCAGGCCATCTTGGACTACATAAGACCTTATCTTCAAACAAAAACAGCAAAAGAGATAGCTACATGTCCATCAGAAGGAGAAAGTTTAAATAAATTTCAGTTCATCTAAACAATGGTAAACTAATCTTTAAAATGAATAAAATAAATCTACATGTATTCTGTGGAAGGATGTCTGTGTTGGATAATTATACTCTCTCTTTTTTGCAGACACGGTCTTCCTTTTGTAGCCAAGGCTGGCCTCAAACTCAGGTCCTCCTGCCTCAGCCTCCTGAGTGCTGGGATTAAGGCATGCCCCACCTTGCCCAACTTCATAAAAATGTAGAACTATATCGTATAGTTATTATATATCCTATTAACTATATGTACTTACTGTATATACTGTTTTATAAAACAGGTGGATTGTTAACAGTGTGCTGTTAGAATCATGGGCTTAGGAGTTAGTATTTGCTGTTTGATTAGCTATTTAAGCCAGTTTTTTTTTCATTTTTGTTGTTTGTTTGTTTGTTTTCTACCATTTGTACCGGAGAATATCTGAAAATGCAAAGTAGGATTCCTATCTTAACCATTGAGTAGTTATATCTAGAAGGTGTTCTTCTGGAGCACCCGGAGGTTGAGTACTTTCCTAGTGTGTGCAGTGCCCTGGGTTTGTTGTAATCAAATTAAAATTTAAATGGTAGTCTTTAGGATTGGCCAGGAGATTTGTTGTTATTTTATCAATCTTATGCTTTCTGTTTACATGGTCTGTCTAAATCTAGGTGGGAAATTCAGAAGATGATGACTTCCAAGATTTTCAAGATGCTTCTAAGTCAGGATCCCTTGATGATTCATTCACTGATTTCCAAGAGGTGCCTGCTTCCTCAAAAACAAATAATTCCCAGCATGGAAACAGGTAGGAAAGAGTTGAATATATTTAGCATTCTATTTAATCATTAAGAAAGGGGTATCCCCAATAAGAAGCCAAATATAAGAGAAATTAAGACTTCTCACTCATATTGCCCTTGGTTATTCCTTTTTTATTCAGACTTTTACCTTTTTTTTTGGTGTGTGTGGGGGGGTGCGGGTACTGGGGCTCAAATTCTAGACCTTGCATTTGCTAGGCAAGTGCTCTGCCACTTGAGTCACTCCTCTATCTATTTTTGTTTTATGTTATATTTTAAATATGGTCTCCCATTTTTATGTGGGCCTTCCAGGACTGCAGTCCTCCTACCTAGTATCTCCCACATAACTGGGACCACAGATGTGTACCACCAAGTCCAGCTTTTGTTGAGATAGGGTCTTGCTAACTTTTGCCTGGGCTTACCTCAAACCGCGAATCTCCCCATCTTCACCTTCCACATAGCTGGGATTTCAGGAGTGAGCCACCATGCCCTGTGCATACTTTCACTCTTGAATTTCCCTGATTTTGTCTACCTTAAACTTTAGCTCCTGTCTTCCCTGCCCTCCTCCCCATCCCAGTGCACACCTGCTTGTAAGTTCTCTCTTTGCCTATAGTAAACCTGATTTATGATAGCTGAATACACCCATACAGAGATGGCTTTATATTCTTATACTAGATCCAGGTCTTCAGCTGTTGAAAACAAATTTTTAGGTACAGAAATCATAATTAAGAACTCTTAATGTATGTTATTTATTCATGTGTTGTGTTTGACATCAGTGGCTTTTAGACCTCCGTTTCTGTTTTTGTTTACATGTTGCATAAACATTGCATTAAGGTTTTATGTACTAGTTTAGCCTTTAGGAACAGTAACTGATGAGATCAGTATGTTGTAAACACCTTTCCATCGCTTCCTTTTTTGTTGTTGTTTTTTGGTATTTAGATACTGAGTAAACAGTATGAATTTTTTTGGGTTTTTTTTGGAATTTGTTTTTGTCAGAATACAGAATTCCATTTCTCTTATGATCCTGTTTATGCAGTTTCCCTAATCTCTTTCATTTTAACCAACTAGTTATCTCTTAGTCATTTTCCTATCAACACTTCCTTCCCTAAGGGATAGACATGAAAGAGTACAAATTAGGAAGAGATTATTCTTCTTAAGAATATATCAAGCACATGTAAGCAACATTGAGAAGGAATATATAAATAATGTGACTTTTCTGGCATTTCCAACACCACACCAGCACATAATAATGTTTTTATCCTAGGTCTCCTCTTTTGAACAAAATTTATTATGCACTGCTGATATTTAAGTATTTCAGTCTGAATGACTTGGGCATTTCAAATTTGCTACGTAAAATTAATTGTTTTCTTATTCAAAGACAAATAAATTTTGTTAAATCATCATTACCTTCCTTGGTTAATTGTGTCACCATATCCAGTCAGAAACCTGTTATCCAAATCAGAAACATGTTATTTATTTTTGTCCTGTCTCCTTTACTACCATCAGCTGTGTCAGCTTTGCTTGGTATGGAAGAAAACTCATAGGTAATCTTGCTCCTGCTACCCTGACAACCCTTGCCCTTTCCCTACAGCTTTTACTCTAGCCTTGCCAGAATGACTTCAAACTGACTATTCTCTTTCAAGCTTCTGGTATTTGTACATTCTGTTTTTTTCAACCTGAAAAACCTTATCTTTTCTCTCTATAATTCTAGTTCTACTTCAAAAATCAGCTAAATGAGCTGGGGGCATGGCTCAAGTGGTAGATCGCCTGCCTAGTAAGCATAATGTCCCAAGTTCAAACCCTAGTACTGCCCAAAAAAAAAAAATTCACCAATTATAGGACTTTTTTTCCTGGTCCCTTTCAGACAATCCCTACCTCCAAGAAGAGCTAAGGGTCCTCCTTCTCTACTGTCATAGTCTCTTATGAATATCTCTGCCCTAATTACTGGTTTATTTGATGGTTTCCTATATGTAGTGCTTAGCCCAGATAAGTAATGAGTAAAGCGTTGTTGGATGAATATGTTATTATATGTGGGCTATAAACTGAGTTCATCAAAGTGGTACTCAGGAGAAAGACGTTTTTAGTAGAAAGTTTAAGATGGTGGCCAAACCTAAGATGCATGAAACCTAAGATGCATGGGCTATTAGCAAGTTTGTATGGCATTATCTCCATGTGATTAATAGTTTACGTTCATAGATAGCCGTACTTTGAACATGTTCTTTTAGTGGTCTGATTTGATTACTTCTTGTTTTCTTTGAGTGAAAATATTTTACTCATATCTGAAAGTCTGTACTCATTGTTTATTCATTCAGCAAATATTTACTTAATATCTACTATATGCCAGGCAGGAGAAACACAAATGCAAAAACTACAGTTATTGTTATAAAGAAGATGAATTTTATCCGGATATTTACATTATCTATTAAAGCTCTCTCATGACTGTTCCTTAAATGTACAGTTAGTCCTTCATACCTATGGTGTTCACATACTCATAATGAACCATCAATTTGAAAAATTCAGAAAAAATTACATATGTACTGAACATGCACAGACTTTTTTTTGTCTCTATTCCCTAAATACTATAGCATAACAACTATTTACATAGCATTTGCAATATATTAGGTATGATTAGTAATCTAGAGATGATTCAAATTGTATGGGAAGATGTGTATAAGTTATGTGCAAACATTACACCATTTTATATGAGGGATATTATATATGCTATATATTGTGTGTATATATATATATATATATAAACTCCCTAGTGTTATGATAATCTGTATTCTATATTCTGTGTTTATTTAAAAACTTGTTAAATCATGATATGACTAGCTAAGCTTGCGTGAGACCACTTTTAGCAATATTTTTAAGCAGAAAGATGGGCATTATTTGGCAGAAAAGATGAAAAGGCAAGTAAGGTGTTAGAAATAGACTGGGGTGGAGAGCACTGTTAGTTGGTGAGAAAATGATACTAGTTCAGGGCATGTGGTGAAATCTGTAAAGCATCTTAGGAATAAGAAGTGGCATGATGAGAGGGATTCTTGCTGCAGTGTGGTGATCCCTTCCCTGCTGTGGCAGTCCTGTTGTGAGGTGACAAGTGGCACTCTAGATGTAGAGTGACTTAGACACTCAGCAGTTTATATCTGAGAAGTGTGTTGGACTCGGTATTGAGCTGGATGTCAAGAGTCAGAGGAGAGGTAGCAGTCGAGCCTGCTCCTAAGACACGAATGGGGGTCTGAAAGACAACAACATTATCCAGTTGTCCGTTCCAAAAATACTTACAGTGTGCTAGGCACTAGGGAGACTAGAACAATGAACAACGCAGACAAGGCTTTGATGACAGAAGAATTCAAAAGGGTTAAGGTATAGGGGTTTGGAATTAGTTTTATTTTGCTGAGATCAAAATGTTTCTTTTTAAATGTTTGTATTTAGCAGGATGAGCAACTAAGTAAAGCTATCTACCACAGCTATATGGAGTGATTGCAAAATATAAATGGACTCACTGAAGAAACAGAAAAATTCAGTTTTTGCTAGCCAAATTCTTAGTTTTACCTTTTAATAAAATGCAAATTCCTAAATTTTAAAACATATGCCTCTCTCACTTGAGTGCTTTCATTATTATTAAAGAGTAGAAATAACTATTCATCTTTATAATAGACCATACTATATATGTATTATAAAAATAACTTGCATAAACATTGTTATGGTGATTAGAGGCCTTTTTAAGAAACAGTAACTTCAGAGAAAGAACTAAAATGAAGCATTCATTTGTAATATGTGCAAAATTATAGTCTGAATGACGCCTTTTTTGAATGCAGTTTTATTTTATTGATTTCAATCAGCAATACTTCATTACCCTGAAGATCCTCTATTTTGTCCAATTCTGTGAATATAATTTTTAAATTAATCATATTCAATTAAATGTGACTAGCGCTTTAAAAAGACCATAGCTAAAATTATGGATATGAAAAGCAAATAGATCATTCAACTTTGTGGGATTTGTTTTTCCTTAGACACTTATTTCTAGGTAGCATTCTATACAGTGAGCTGTAGTTTAATTACTTATGGAGGCTTAAGAAAATTCATATATAAGGTATAGATGATAACCTATTGCATTTGTCAGGGTCAGATATGCAGCAGCTGTTTGGTAGTGATGTGAAATTTTAATATTTGATGCCACTAAGTCCTGAAGCACTATGGACTGCCATTAGTATGCATGTGTGACAGCCTGGTTACCTTGCTTGTAGGCCACTGATAAGAAGATTTAAATGACCATGGAAAAGATTTTTGCTCTGGGACGAAGAACTCAATAAAAATCCATTTATATAACTTGTGTGTGTGATATTGAATGATACAAACTGCATAGTCATTCATATGTAAAGGTTGTTCTTCCAGGGAGCTGCCTGGGTCTGATAAGAGAAAAAAGCTGTGCTTTTATAGTATGTGTTTAAGCCTTCCAAGAATTACCTGCACAGATACTACTCATTACAGTCTTTCCATCCAGTGGAAAATACGTCCACAAGCGAAAGTATCTTTATCTAATTTTGAAGTGATTGTTGTTTTGCTAGAAAGATAGCTTCTGGAACCACTGATGTGATTCTTGTAAAAATGCAAATTGTATTAATTCTGCTGCTGCTTATCAGATGTATGAACTTCTGCAGTAAGCAATGCAGTATGATCAAAAGAAGAACAATTTATATCTTGACTTGAACATCATTTCATTAATCTATTTTTAACTTAACTATGCCACCTCTGCACTCTGAACCCATTTTAGAGAATAATTTATATTAAGGTTAGTTTATTTTAAAATATTAGGTATACATATTTGGAGCAATTTACTTTTATAGTTTTACAAACCTTAAGTTAAAATTTCAGGAAGTCACCATTCTTTAATGATCTCTTTCCAAAACCATTCCAATCATCATATGGTTTAAAGAAAAGTTTAGACTTCTAGAAAAAAGTTATAGCTTGAGTGTTACACAAATATTTTTTCAAGAAAAAGAATATTGTTTTTAGTCATTTGTTGTGTGTATGCAAAGTTTCTAACTCTTAAAGGAGAAAGCTGTGAGTTTTAACTAGGTACCTCTTTTTTTTTGTTTTGTTTTTAACCTGAGGTTTTTATTTATTTATTTAATGTTGTGCTGTGTGGGGGGTACATTATAGCATTTACAAATGTTCTTACCACATATCAAATATATCATGGTTGAATTCACCTCCCCCCCCCATCATTCTCCTTCATCCTCCCTCTTCCCGTTCTGGAGTAATTTCAACAGGTATCATTTTTCATTTACATACATGTATACACAGTATTTGCACTATATCCACCTCCTACATCTTTTCTCCACATCCTTCCCCCAACTATAGGTACCTCTTTCCCATGTTAGTTCTAAGTTCTTAATTGATGATAAGGGAATGATTTGATGCTGTGATCATTAAGACATGTTTCATTTCTCCTTTTAGTACCTCATCTTTGTTGACGCCACTTCCTGGAACTAAAGCACCAGCTTCAGTGGATAAATATGCTGTGTTTAAAGGAATTGCAGCTGACAAGTCCTTTGAAAATGCTATTCCATTTGGAGGTAAAAACAGTTTGTAAATGCATAAGTCTGCGAGTATAATGATTAAATTGTATTAATCTTTAATTGGTGGCCTTTTATATTAAATGTGTGAAACTCTATACCACATGTTGAGTATGTTTGGGTAATCCAATCTGCCTTACCTCCTTGCTGTGATCACAAGGTTCCTAACCATAACTGAGCTTCTGTCTTTTCATCATAGAGCCTGGTGATAAATACAGTGCTTTCAGAGAACTTGAGCAGACAACAGATAGTAAATCTTTAGGTAAGTTTTTCCTTCCTTCATCCCTCCCTTCCTCTCCCTCTTTCTTCTCTTCTATTCTTTCTCTTTCTCTCTCTCTCTTTCTCTTTCTTGTTGGAGGGTCAGGTGCTGGAATGGAATCTAGAGCCTTGTGCATGGTAGACAGGCACTCTACTATTGAGGTATATTCCTAGCTCTAAAGGGAATTTTTTATGGTTCTTTCAAGGATGCTTTTGAACATTTCTTTATTTTGTCATGTGTACATTTTTGGGGGAAGAAAAAAAAAACAATGGGTAAAACAGTATGGTTTAATAATATTTTTTGTAATAGACATTCAAACTGCAAATATTTTCAGTGGTACTTACTATGTTTAATAAATATTGTGATAGGCTCTGAGTGGGGGACTATCTCTTGTAGAAGAGGGATAATACTTCTTGAGGCTTTGAAAAATTACAAGGAGTGCCAAGCACCATCACCCCTAGCTACTGGAGAGGCAGAGATCAGGAAGATTGCAGTTCAAAGCCAGCCTGGGCAAATAATTAAAGAGACCCTATCTCGAAAATATGAAACACAAAAAAGGGCTGGCAGTGGTCCAAGTGGTAGAGCACCAGCCTAGCAAGGGTGAGGCCCTGAGTTCAAGCCCCAGTACTACCAAAAGAGAAGAAAAAAAAGAAAAATTACAAATAGGCAAATGTGGCTCAGTTATCAGAAGTTGTTTTCTAAAATTTAGGACAAATCTCAAACCAGTGCAATTTCCTCTGAAGATAGTATATCCCTTTATTGAATTCTGCAAGCCAAGTTAGATTCCTGTATCAAATGGACAGCTGTGACTAGTTTTGTTTATTGTAATGTTCAAAAGACTTGAGCTGTCTAAGGTGAATCAGTCTATGGACTGTGCGAAAGGCAGCCACCAGTCTTTTACTTTTCAAAAAAGTTTTTCTATTACCCCAGTATCATTTTTGTTTCCTTAGTTTCCCATTCATTGTTTGGAGAGAAAACATGGTAGACTAACATGATTAAAAACAGCTCTGGGACTAGGGGACATGACTAATGTGGTAGAGCACTTGTGTAACTTGCATAAGCTGGAGGCCTAGAATTCAGTGAAATATCTTTTCATCAGTAGAACATCAGCTAAAAATCATTATAAAACGTTGGGTTCATACAAAGATGACCAAGTGGGGGCAAGCAAGACTCAGCCTGAACTTATATTTTATCAAATCTATTATGCTTGAATGGTGAGAACTCCATGAAAAGTAACATTTCAAAACTTCAGGCCACAGCCAAAACATAGAATCAGTAGCCAAACAGTACTCACTTGGATATGTCCAAGGATGCTGACACCAATATTCAACCACTCCCGACTCAGAGTGTAGCTTTTGCCTATATGGTACAGCACTTACCTAGCATAAACGAGGCCCTGGGTTTGATCCCCAGCACTACAAAATATATAAGTTAATTAGTTTTTAAAAATTATCATCTCACTCATCCAGTAGAAAGGATCTGTTACTGTGCTTTGCCTGTGTTTGCCTCAGTCACTACTGTTCAAGATTTTCAAGGTTGGTGTAATTTAATGAGAAAGATGAAGAGAGAGGAGTTTATATGAATGTATTCTTACCATCTTTGATTGAAGAGCTTAAAGAGTAGAAGCAAATATAGAGTGATAATTTGAGAACTACATATGTAAAACCTGAAAGTTAATGTTTATGGTTAAATATACTATAAACATGGTGTGTAGCATTTAGGTAACCCATAGATCAAATTAAGTCCTCCAAACCTTAACTGTGCATATTATGAAATGTGAATACTCTAATGAGGATTTCCTCCTGGGAACAGTACCACATTCTACCTTTAAGTACTGAATACTCAAACTTGGATCACCCTTCAGCAGTTATTTATTTGTATTCTCCTGCTCAGGGTGGGAAAGATTCATTATCAGGAATAAGCTAACAATAGTAGATACCTGTGTTGCTTAAACATCCCTAAAAGGGGAAAGTCACCTCTTAGAAGAATATTCAATCTCTTTTAGCTCTTCGGTTCCGTTCCATAAAGGTTTTCTTGTGTATCAGCCAAGCCTTTAGGATGTAATAGCTGTTTCTTCCTCAGTGCCTATCCTAGGCAAGAGGAGTACAAAAATGAACCCTAGAGGAATTTTGACTTCATTTCTTCCTAGCAATGCTTTCATCAACTCTCAGGCTAAGGCAAGTTTGGAGTAAAAAGCCTGGCTTAATACCAGTGTTCTTTGTGTAATATGGTGTTCATGATCATGACATATATGTTATTACTACAAAAGGCAATAAGGAAAGATAGTGGTGCCACCAAAATATAAGTGGTACCTTAGCCCTCCTTTTTCATTCTTAAACTAAGTCCCATATGATTGCCCTTTTTATTTTGCTTTTTATTTGTTTTCAGGTGGTACTGGGATTTGAGCTCAGGGCTTCACACTTGAGCCATGCCTCTAACCTTAACTTTATATTTTTATTAGCATAAATTAACTGTACACAAGGGTTTCATTGTAATAGTTACATATATGTTCCTCTCTTGACTTCAGTTCTAAAGCCTTTGAAGTACATTTGCTAACATTGTTCACTTTAGGGGGAAATGTTTTATTCTCTTAAAATGGTGTGGTTTTTTTATAAATACAATATATTTTTAAATACATTGGCATAAGCCAGGCATGGTGATTCATACCTATAATCCCAGCCCTGAGGAGGCTGAAATAGGAGAATCATGAGTTCAAGGCTAGCCAGGCTATATAGCAAGACCCTGTCTGGGAGGGGAGAAGGAGAGGAACACTTCTTATTGAAGCTTTAGCAAAAAGTAGTCTATTTTGAGTTTTTATTTTTTAGGACCTAAAATGTGACAAATCAAGAGAGAAACAAGCATTCACAAGTTAATTGAAAAGCTACCTATAAAATACTGTATTTAATATGCCTTTTTATATGAAAGCTTCCAATGACTGCAGCTAATTTATTTACCAAAAAAATTTCCTTTGTTTTTGAAGATGTAAATCCACCTATTTTTATTTCCTTTCAAAAAACCTTTGTACCCAGTTTTACATTTGTGATGGGAAAGTTTACAACTCATCAGTAAGTTTAGTTTGCTGTGGTGATTTTGGGGTTTTCAAAATAACAAACTTTTCAATTTCACATATATTTCAAAACAACACATCAAAAGTTTAGGCTATGATATAATTGGCTGCCCATTATCTTTGAATTTATAGAAAGAACATATGTATAATCAGTGATGCCTTTGTCTAAAATTCTAGGGTGATTTTAATAAGTTTCACATTTGCAACTCCTGTCACTTTGTGAAATTGACTTAAATTTTGGTAGTGGTATATCTTGAAAATATAAGTTACAAGAAATTTGAATATCATTTCTCTTAAAAATTTCCGAATAATACTAGATGGATTTGTATTGGTGAATTTTGCAAGTGAATTGATGTGATACCAGATTAGCAGGAAAAATCCTACTGCTAATTAGGAGAAAAAAGCATTTTCAAAGTATATATCATGTTACAAGCACAATGTATTTAAAGCCTAAATTATTTTATATGCCAATTTTAAGAATTGGGTTTTAATTTTTAAATATATTTTTATGGTTCATATGCCTCTATATCTAATTTTTAGAGAAAAGCAGTTTAAAAAATGGGTGAAGTAATTAAAGTTTGTATTTTAATTTATAAAGTCTCCAGAAATAGCAGTCTTTCTTTCTTACTTATTTGTTTGTTTATTTATTTATTTGGTGGGACTGGGTTTTGAACTCAGGGCTTTGTGCTTGCAAAGCAGGCACTCTACCACTTGAGCTATGCCGCCAGTCCATATTTGCTCTAGTTATATTTGGAACTGGAGTCTCATGAACTATTTGCCCAGGCTGAATTCAAACCGCAATCCTCCCAATCTCAGGAGGAAGGATTATAAGTAGTGAGGATTATAGGTGTGAGCCACCAGCACCCATCCTTTTTTTTTTTTTTTTTTTTGGCAGTATTGGGATTTGAACTCTTGCTAAGCAGGCATGCTACTGCTTGAGCCATGCCTCCAGCCCAAGCAGTCATATTTTTAAATAGCAATTGGTGTTGGCTGGTATAGTTATATTTATATTTGGCTTATCTCTGATTTTCATTACTTGGTATAGATTAGTGGATTTTATGGGTAGACCTTCAGACACTATTAGAAAACTGAAATCATCTGCATCCTAACATCATATCTGAGTGATAATATTTGTGTAATAGTAAAGAATAGAAATCCTATTAAGAATCATGGGCCCAGGACCTGTGCATGCTACACCTCAGCTCTACCACTGAGCAGCAACCCTAGTCTTTTTTTTTCTTTGAGACTGGGTCTTGCTCTGCAACCTAGGTTAGCCTCAAACTCACAGTCCTCTCAAGTAGAGGCATGTACTACCATGCTCAGCCTCTAGTAATTCTTTTTCCTTTTCCTTTTTTTTTTTTTTCCAGTACTAGGGCTTGAACTCAGGGCCTTTATTTTGAGCCACGCCACCTGCCCTTTTTGTTGATGGGTATTTTCAAGATACGGTCTTGTAAACTGTTTGCCTGGGCTGGCTTTGAACTATAATCCTTCTGATTTCTCCCTCCTGAGTTACTAGGATTACAGGCATGAGCCACTGGCACCCAGCTAGTAATTCTTAAAGTACCTTGTAGTTCAGAAGGTCTTGTACATCCTGAATGTTAGATGCAGAATTTCTCATAATACTTCATTGGTACCTTTGATTTTTTAAACCACATAACATGTTTTATCTTTAAAGGGCCATCATTTCAATGTGCCTCTGGAACCTCCAGCAACTATTCTGTTCTATTGTATGCTGGACTGGCTAGCCAGGAGAGGAAAAAATCTCCAGAACTGCCTGTTTCCATATCACTAGGCTTCAGTGTGAAAACAAATGTGTTCTTTCCTAGGGTTTAAACTGTTATTAATGTGATGCTAGTGGGGGGAAGCCTGTCAAGTCACACTTGCTGTTTAACATGCTGTGTATTATGTGGTTTTCAGTTTAAGATTCAGATTTATTTGGTTACACTTTTTTCTTTCAGGAGACAACTTTACAGAATTCAGGTCTGCAGGAACTGATGATGGTTTCACCGATTTTAAAACAGCTGATAGTATATCGCCACTAGAGCCACCAACAAAAGACACAACTTTTCCAGCATCCTTCCCCTCAGGAACCATACAACAGAAACAACTAGCACAAGTGAAAAATCCTCTGAACTTAGCAGACCTAGATATGTTTTCCTCCATTAATTGCAGCAGCGAGAAAACCTTGCCTTTTTCAGCTGCATTTAATGCATCAAAATCAGTTTCTGCACGACCTCAGCCAACAGTTTCTGCCACAACTACTACAGCACTGGCATCCACTAAAACTTCTAGTTTGGCTGATGATTTTGGAGAATTCAACCTTTTTGGGGAATATTCTAGTCCAGCATCTGTTGGGGAGCAGGATGACTTTGCAGATTTTATGGCTTTCAGTAATAACTCCGTTTCATCTGAGCAAAAGGCAAATGACAAATACGATGTCCTCAGAGAGGAAGCTAGTCCTGTTCCTCTCACTAGCAACTCAGGCAGCATAGCAAAGAGTGCACAGAACCCAACTACTGCATCTACCAAGTACGATGTCTTCAAGCAGCTTTCCCTAGAAGGAGCTGGATTAGGTGTGGAAGAATTAAAAGATAACACTACTTCTGGAAAGAGTGATGATGATTTTGCTGACTTCCACTCCAGTAAATTTTCATCCATGAACTCAGACAGATCCTTAGGAGAGAAAGCAGTGGCGTTCAGACACACCAAAGAAGACTCTGCTTCTGTGAAGTCCCTGGATCTTCCTTCAATTGGTGGCAGCAGTGTCGGCAAAGAGGACTCTGAAGATGCACTTTCTGTTCAGTTTGACATGAAATTGGCTGATGTGGGAGGAGATCTTAAGCATGTCATGTCTGATAGCTCTTTGGATTTACCAACAGTTAGTGGCCAGCATCCTCCTGCCGCAGGTGAGGAATTGGTGAGATTGCTCTGGTGATGGTGCTGTAGATTTCAAAGATGATTTTATGGGTGTTGATTTACAGAAGATTGAGGCTGTGGCCCTTTACCTTTATGGATTTCTAGTAATTAACCTCCTTGTTGCCAGTCTCTTTGAAGCAGTAAATTTGTTTCTATGGATACTTGGATATAAGGTTACTGTGAGTACTGAAACTTAGATTGGATAGCCAAAATATTTTTATTTTTTAAATCCAGTATTAACTTGGTATCAGAGGCAAATAAGAACCCACAGCTCAATTAACCCACATTACCAGAAATTTTATACTTTTGCAGTGTCAGCAGTGTTTCTTGTCTATGAGCAAAATCACTGTTTCCCTCTCCTTTTGTCTTCTCTTGGGTATATTTAACAGCTGCCAATACAGTATTTTGTTCAGTTTAGAAAACCTGATGCTTAAGGCTGGGAACATGGCTCAAATGGTAGAGCACCTGCCTAGCAAGCACGAGGCCTTGAGTTCAAACACCAGTACCATCAAGAAATAATAGTAATGGTAATAATAAAAACATAAATAAGCCACAAAGAACCTGGCTCTAATTAGGCTAAAGTAAAAAAGTCTAACCAGTTATAGTGCAGTTTGCCACATCCCTTCAAGAGAAGAAGAGGGAAAGCACTTACAGATGTCCTGTGTGTCAGGGTCTGGCAAGGAGGAGGACCTATGTTGTTAGTGGAATTCAGGTACTGTTTTCAGTGTGAACTCTATTACTGGAAGTATTGAGCTGTAATAAGCCTGTAGATGGTAGGATAGGGTAACTACTAACTTTCTGATAAAATGTTTGAAACATCTTATTAGGGAGCCCTCTTTAAATTCTGTGTGGATTTACATGTAGCAGTTTATACTCTAATCCAACTTCCTGTCATAAAAACTAGATTCCCAAGTGTCCTAGTTTTTGTTTTGTTTTGTTTGTTTTTTTTGATATGTATATAGAAAGACAAATCTATTTTGTGGCCTTTAATAATGAGAACTGTCTCGGTATTACTGTATTATTCTAGAAAATGTATTACGCGTATGAAGGGTTTGGTTTGGTTTTTTACGTGAAAGGGACACATAAGACACTTTCATGTTTACAGATTGAGGCAGAAAATGTAAACTACTGTGCCATAAAACTGGTAAGCCAGCTAACAAAATTATGTCCATCATTTGGTTATTGAAATGTTGGAGGGTTTCTTAAGCTGGGTGTTGAGTCGGAAGCAAGTTAGCAAAGACATTACCTATTTCATGTTGCTACTTGCTAGAGTTGTTTTCTGAGTGCGGTGGGCTGTCTGAAGAGCTCTTTGTGCCCTTCACTATTTCATTTTTGGTTGTTTTTTGTTTTTTAGTTTTGGTGTTTTTGTTCAGAAGTTTTCCATTTGTTTGTTTATTTATTTGCTGCTGTTTGTTTGATAGAATAATTTTGTTTTTCTATTTCTGTGTGAGCTGCTTGAGCCACAGCAACAGGTTGCAAAGTGCTCTGTTTTCTGAACAATAGTGTTTGATTTTTATTTTAAAATCTCATGACATGTATATTAGCCTTTTGGACTCTGAAGTTATTAATTAGAAGCTATTTTTCTGAAAATGAATCTATATTCTTTCACAGTGCCATCTTAGATGTCTTTATGAAATGAGTCTAATCCAGGTTTGGGATGTCTTTTTTCCCCCCATTTTATTTGGGGAGGGGAGGCTGGTTTTTGACTGAGTTTATTCTAATGGACCTGTTAAAATAGTCTGTGCTCATGTTCTTTATGTATGTTTGGAACATTCCCAGAATGGAACCTGTCATGTTCAAGCCAACTCTCTTCAGTGAGGATATTCTTAAAAGCAGATTGTTTCCTCCCATTGGTCTGTAAACCTCCTGTTGGAAAAGAGCAGTATCCCTTTAGAGCGGTTGTTAAAGGGGGTTGATGCTGACAAAGACACTATACCTGTACTGTGGTTGAGCAGAATTGCTGCAGAAATCTATTAGAGAGGGTAAGTGCAGGCATTGGTTCAGTACCGTGTGGTTGTATTTTATATTCTTGTTCACTACAGGATATCTTGCTCTCTTAGTTTGAGGGTTAAACATACATCTTGTTAGAGAAATAAGAAGTGGACTGATGAAGCAAATAAGGTCTACTAGATTATTATCTATAGACCTTAATCCTGTTTAGAAACCCTAACTTAACTCTGAAGGGGATACTGTCTCTTTTTACTCTTGCTATAATTCTGTATGGAAGGTAGATATATTAATAACATTGCCTGATTTATCTGCATATTATTACATTTAACCCTTTGAGCTCTTGCTGCATATAATTTCAACTGGGCTGCTTTTTTTTCCTACTAAATTTAATTTCTCTGGCACTGCAGCATCTTGATGTTGTCATTCAAATCATTTGGTTTTGTTGGCAGCAAGAGCTTACTCTTATATGTGACTTTCTCAAAGGGTTAGCAAAATTTCTGTAGCTACCTACCTGTAAAGTAGCTCTTCTTTGACATTAAAACTCTTTGTATTTTAATCAGCACCTTTTTTTTTTTTGGCCGCTTTTCTGATGTCTTTTTTCAATTTAGACATTTTCTGTGTGAATGTGCCTTTTTGAACTTGCTTTAGTATATTCCTCTGCAAATACTGATCTGCATGCTTATTCTAATGACTTATTTTCCAGCTCTTCTGTACCACTCTCTTTTGTGATCTGTAAGTCCTGTGTTAATAAATTATTCTTTGGCATATTTTGAAAGTGTGAAGATGTGTGTAATTTGTATTTTTTCAGTTAGAACAGAAAAATACCTGACTAGTATCAAGTTTAAAGCAATATATCCTTTGAGACAGAGATGGGTTTTTTCCCTTTTGTTTCCTCAAACACCTATCACCTAAGAAAGTATTGGTGCATTTTAGTTTTTGCCTCTTATAATTCCATTGTTGTAAGTTCCTAATGTGTGGCATTGGGTTGAAATATAACTTTAGGGTTGGGGATGTACCGCAGTGGTTATTTCAAAGGTTAATAGTTTTCACTCTTAAATTTTGAGGCTTTTAGTTATTCTTTTTTAAAATGTTTGAGGAAAAAAAAGAAATTAAACCACTGAAGATGAGGATTTCGAATAGGATTCCTGAGAGATCACTTTCATATCTGAATTATTCCACTTGAGAAAGAAAAATTTGGTTGTTAGGGTTTAAATTAACTCTTAAGAAAAGCTAGCCTGCCATTCTAAAAACTTAGAAAAGTTAGAAAGTTGAGTAACACTTGGTTTCAAAAAGCTTCATCATATAAACACATTACATTTTTTTAGGCAAGTGCTCTACCACTTGAGCCACACCTCCAGCCCTAAATGCAATGCATTTTAGTTGTGATATCTACTGCTAGCAAATGTGGAAGAAAAATTATCTTAGTGTAGCCTCCATTTAGTGCTAACAGCAGCTGCCCTATGTTTGGGAGTTTCTCATCCTGTGTATGTAAGGTCAATCTCATGGTGGCTTTGGCTGAGAGATACCTTTTTCAATGGAACTCTAATGTTAGATTAGTCCATCTGGTACTGCCTTATTTTAAGTCCCCTCTGAACAGAAATGACTGACTTTAACTGTGTGGATAGCCTACATTCACAAATTGAGCAATATTTCTAAATAACATTACTTTCTAGGGAGGTACTTTTAATAATACAGTAATATAAAAACATTTTTGCAATTAAAGCTTGAATTCTATGCTATAGGTTCAAACAAACAAAACTGTTGTTTTGTTTACTACAGTGCCAATTACAATATGGCTGGTTAATGCTTGGCTTTTGTATCAGGGCCTGAGAAATTGTGCAAATATACTTATGTTCTACAATTACTATTGTTCATAAAATCCCTGCTGATTTTTAGAAGTAGCAAATAAACATGAGGGGAACACTGGCAATATCAAAGAAGCTGTGCTAAATAATAAAGTAATTCAAAGCATCAAAAAAAAAAATTTAAGGCTAGGGTCTTATGTAGCCCAGGCTAGCCTTGAGCTCTGGATCATCCTGAGTTCTGGGATTACAGACATGTACTTCCATGCTCAGCTTTTATTCTTTTATTTTTATTCATTTATTTGTTCATTTGTTTTGTTTTGTTTGAGAAGAGGTCTCACTATGCTGCCCAGGTTGGTCTTGAACTCCTGGGCGCAAGGGATCCCTGGCCTCATCTCCTAACTAACTGTAACTACAGGCACTTGCCACCATATCCAACTGTTTTTATTTACTTTTTTTTTTTTTTTTGCTGTAGTGGAGACCTAACCTAGGGCTTTCTGCATGTAGCCATGGAGCTACACTCCCAGCCTGAATCATTTTATTTTTTACTGCACTGCTTCTAGCCCTTTGTTTTATGTCATTTGAGTACTTTTGATAAGTTGTTTTGGAAAATGTTGGCTCTGTACCTCTGAAAGCATCGGACAGTTACATACACAGAAGGGTCTCCTAGGTACTGCCCTCTCCCTTGCAGGGCTAAATGACCTAAATTGCAGTTACCATTTTCTGTGCTGATTTGGTATCATTTTGATGAATTTTTATTGATGACCATGAAGGCCCACTGTTCTTGGCCTTCTCCTCAGACTGAAAATGTCCACAGGATTGCCACTTTTGTTTATTAAACTTTATTAAAACACTAGCACAGAAACTTGCAAAAGCTTACAAATAGTGATTTAAGATGGAGCCTTATGGGAGTCAGTACAAATGAAGGATGAAAGGTTTCCATGTGGAGCAGAAAACACTGGAAGGCAGTTATACAGCAGCATTTTATAGCTTTATCTAAAAACTAGTATAACACCAATGAGGAGCACCATAAAAACCATCGCACCTCTCACTTAAACTGTGATCACTTTTGCTTTTGTTTTCCTTTTGGTGATACTGGAATTTGAACTCGGCCTCTGTGCTTGCTAGGCAGATGTTCTACCACTTGAGCCGGAACCCCAGGCCCTTTTTAGTTTTAGGTATTCAGATTGGGTCTCGAATTTTTGCCCAGGGCTGAGCTCAGACCAGCATCCTCCTATTTCTGCCTCTTACATAGCTGGAATTACAGGTGTGGTGCCCCACCATAACTAACTTATTGGTTGAGATGGGGTTTTGCTAACTTTTTGCCCAGGCTGGCCTCAAACCACAATCTTCCCAGTCTGCCTCCCAAGTGGCTGAGATTACCAACATGAGCCACCACTCCCACCAGACCAGGTTTTATATTAATGCAGAATATTCCTTAAGGTAGAACAGGACTAGGGATGGAAAGAAACTGAAATGTGCAAAAAATTTCATGATTTGCTTCATTGATAAATGAAGTCTGGATTAAATCATGATTGGAAATTAAAGGCATTTCTTCCTTAGTCCAATGAATATTGTTACTGCTATATAAAACACTTGAGAATAATGCAATTTACATATGCGTTTCCTGTCTTCTTTCTCTCAACTCCTTCCTCACACGTCAGTAACTCTGACAGCTTTAGAAAGTGTCCATAGGAATAGTTATGTCCTTCTGTGTGCTGTAGTGGCCGCTCACATGCCTGGAAATATCTTATTTAAATGTACAACATACATTCAAAAGGAATTTGTATAGAGGTTATGGGAGAGACTGATGGGGTTGCTTGCCAACATAAGCAAGAAATCCATGTCTTTATTTGAGATCCATGATGGAAAGCAGATTGTGTAGTTTATTCTTTTGCTGTTTGTAATAGGACATTCCTGGTTGCAAACAAATACACATATGAAAGCACACAATTTAGGATATTATCTATGTGCAATTGCAGCTCAACTTAGCACAGCCTAGGCAGTAGTGATTCTCTGGCCATTTTATTGCATTCTTTCTCCATTTTCTTTTTCCTTTTTCTCTTGCAATTTTCAGAATTCAGCTGTCAAATTGAAAACCATCTACAGTAACTTCAGTGATTACAAAATGAAGTGTAGGTTATTGCACATAATTTCTCTAGACAGGCTTCTGTCATTTATGTGTAGGTCTTATGTAATCTTTAATATTTTTAAGACATATATGTATATAACTGGATTACTTAGCAAACATAGAACTGTTAACACAGGAAATGAGGAATTTTCTTGCTTTAACCTACCTTCAATGAACTGATTTACCACATTTTTCTTGGAAAATGGTTTACAAGTATTCATTATGTCAGGAAATTATACTTACATTGTTTATAAATGCTAAGGTTAGGGATAAGTGTTATATAAGTGTTCTGTCTTACATTGCTTATGACATTACATATTTGTAATGTCAGTTTTAGTACTTACAATGTTCAAATGAATTCCTCTTTAGTAAATTACTTTTTAAAACTATAGTAGCTAATAAATAAGCAAAGTAAACTTAAAACTCAACTTCAAAGGTTGATTTTAGTAAATCTTATATGCTTACTCTTATTTTTTTAAAAGTATAAAATATTTCATTTGAAGTCTTTCATTTGAATTGTTTTAGTCTTAAATTTAGTCATTTCTATGAATTGCTCCAGAAGGCAAATGTTAAATTCTTATCATCTTTAATAAAAATAAGATTCATTGAAGACCTTTGTATTTATAAAAATGCTTTAAAGCTCTTCAGCTGAGGTAATTCCTTATTGCTTACAGTGCCCTCTACCTGATTATATGAGTCATTTCTAATGCAAAAAATTTTTTTCTTGTTACATAATTGCACAAAAAGATCTTTTTATTACCATAGCAACTGGTTACAATGTTTGAACTGGAGCTGTCTTTTCATTAAATTTATCTTTGGTCTCTAGGAAAATTGCTATCCTTTAATAGATGAGATTCTGAGAGTAATTCCTAATATAGTTTCCCCAAAAAGCTTTCTGGTAGGGTCTAATAATATAAATATCTGTATTGTGAAACATTCTTCTGAATGTACCTTTTGAAGACTAGTTTAACTGCATCTGCTTCCTGACTGAATTTCACCTCATTTGAGTCTGGGTACCTTCTGATCCTTCTAAGTAGTGGGAAAAAAAATGCTACAAGAGACTAAGAAAGCATTTTGTCTAAAGGCTTGCTTCATTCAGTCTATAAAATTTTTGCCTAAATCTTTTTAATCCTTCTTTTTAATAAGCCACATTTGAAGAGTGCCATTTGCACTACAGAATTTTAAAATATACCATCATCCAGTGAAAGATATTTTGCTTTTCACTGGTTGGCTTTTTCTAGCATTTTAATTATTAATTTAGTACCCTTTTCCTAACAGAGCTTAGAGAGAAAGATTTGTTTTATAGTATTAGGAGAGCTATGGAAATGTCAGGAGCCCTGTACCTCTCACATAAACTGTGCAGTATTGCTGTGGAAAAAAAGAAAAAATAACCCAGTGTTGGTTCACCTTTTGACTTAATTATGAAAATCTAGATCATAAAACTTTTGAACATTTTTCTTATAAAATCATGTATGTGGTTGTCAGAGGTACATTTGGCCTTCTTGCCTCATATACAATGACTAAAATGAAACTAAACACATATCAGCCCGACTCTGCTGCTGTTAAGGGGGCTTCACACCAGCACTATTTAGCCTCAGCTGGTTTTACTTTTTGAAAATGAGCAAGAAACATCTTCCCTAGTAACATCACTTACATGATGAGTTGGCTTTTCATTTTTACTTTGAAATGATTCCATCTTAGGCCCCAAAGCAGCAACTAAATGTCAAATCAAGGCTAGTGGCAACTTGCTGAACAACCCCTAGCTTGCCTAGCTTTCATATCACTGGGTAATCATATCACAGTTGATTATCCTAATACAGCCATTCCAAGTACATTGTTTTCTCATTTTACAGGTGAGCAAACTAAGGTCCAGAAATGTGAAGTAATTTTTCTAGTGTCCCATAAGTAGGTGGAAGAGTTGAGCTCAGCTTTGTCCAAACTAAAACCCTAATCCTTTCTGCTGTTTTATGCTGCTGCTTAAATTATTTAAATAAATATTAAGAATGCTTTGTATAATGAGTCCTCTGCCCCAGCATTTCTTTCTTTTACTTCTTTTATTTTTTTAATGGAGGTTTGGGAGCTATAGTTGAAGTAGAAACAGGAGCTCAATAGGATTCAGATCTTTGATTCTATTTTTTAAGGACTAAAGTAGACTAGATTGATTTTCCTTTCCTCACATTTCATCACAGCAATATGACGTCCAAATTGACCAAAATGACAACTAGGTAAGTAATTGCTTGATTAAAATCTCATATTTGGCCTTGCCTGAGACAGGAATTCCTAATAATTTATTAAAAGATAGGTGACATTATTTTTACTTTAGTTTAGAGAAACTATCAATTTTAATAAGTTTGTTATGTACATTTCATATGACCATGCCTTAAAGGAACATTTTCTGACAGTACAGAAGAAAGGAGACATAATTTAAGCAGGGAATATGTAAGTACATTTTAAGGTCTATAACGGAACAATTTATAAATAATCTTAATCTTACATCAAACAGTATGTACATTGCTAGATGAACCTTCTGTCTTTTTTAGAAATTTTCATATAAAAATAAAATGATTTTTATACCTAAATGTAAATACCAACTCAAGACTAATGTGTTTTTTTTTAAATCAAGTGTTATAGCCCAATTCCCTTAATTTTAGTACAAACTCTAGTTACTCTAACATAGCATAAAACTAATCAAATGTGCTAAGCATTTTGCTTCTGCAGAGTTGAGGGCATTTTTCCTAAATTGTGAGTTTGCCTCTAATTGTGGGGTCTTATTTCCCTTTCAGATATAGAGGACTTAAAATATGCTGCTTTTGGAAGCTACAGTAGCAATTTTGCAGTGAGCACACTTACGAGCTATGACTGGTCAGACAGGGATGATGCATCTCAGGGCAGAAAACTCTCTCCATTTGTCCTCTCAGCAGGAAGCAGATCCTCCTCAGCTGCCTCAGTTCTTCAAAAGAAAGAGACATCATTTGGCAGTTCTGAAAACATCACCGTGACATCTCTCTCCAAAGTAACAACCTTTGCAAGTCAAGATGCTCTTCCAGAAACTCCCTTCCCAGCTTTTGCCAGTTTTAAAGACATGCTTCCTCAGACCAGTGAGCAAAAAGAATATGAAAGTGGGGTCTATAAAGATTTCATAAAACAAGACATGACTATAGCTGAATGGAGCCAAGAGGCCACATGTCCAAGCCCAGCTTCTAGTGCCACCTCTCACGAAACCCCCAAAGAATGTTCAGATGACTTTGGAGAGTTTCAAAGTGAAAAGCTCAAAATCAGCAAATTTGACTTTTTAGTAGCCAACCCACAAAGCAAAGTGAAATCCAGTGAAGAAATGATCAAAAGTGAGCTGGCAACCTTTGATCTTTCTGTTCAAGGTGAGTAGTTTCAAGGTAGATTTTACTATTGTAGGTTTATTCCACTGAAAAGTTAGATACTTTTTCTTAAGAATAAAATGTCGGTTCTTGGTTTAGCAAAAAATATATTTTCTAGGTTTCAAAATTAGGGTCAATTATACATAGCTGTATAACTAAAGGTTTCCCTGAAACTGAACTGAAGTCAAATCAGTATCCCGTAGCTGCTTTTTTAACTAAACACAAGCAAAGCATGCAGTTATTGTTCATCAGTTTAGAGTGTGCTATTTAAAATAGCAGAGAGTGATCTAGGGGTGTAACTCAGTGATAGAGCACTTACCTAGCCTGAGCAAGGCTCTGGGTTCCATCCCCAGTACCAAAAAAAAAAGCTCGAGAAATGGGTAATAGATTTGATCCACTGGTGAGCAGTTTAACTCATCTTTTTCCCCAGCTACCGTGTCTTTTAATCCAGAGTCTGTAATATGGCTGCAGATCTGCATGCTGCTTGCAGATCTGTTTTGATTAATCTATAAAGTTTGAAGTAATTCCTAATATTTAGGGAAGCTTGGCAGTACTGGGGGTTGAACTCAGGACCTTGTACTTGCTAGGCACACTCTACCAGCACTATTGTTAACATTTAGAAATTGTGAGATTTTCTCAATCTGGATTTCTAACTTTTCTTAAAAAGTCATAATATCTGGTAATACTAGGCCTGCCTTCCCAGGCCTTGACAATCAGCTGGAGCTGAGTAGCAATACCACCCAGAGATGGGGCACGCTCTCTCAATTTGCTGGTCTCCATCACTTCCATCTCTAACTGACCTTTGTCATTTGCTTTACTTGCCTGTCTCTGAAGGCATATGAGTTTGCCTCTTCTGCTTTAATACCATCCTGACAGAAGAGATCATGGATTTCAGTTTGATTGAGAGAGCATGAAGGAGCTCAGGTGCAAATCCATAACTAATGACACAACTCTTATGCACTATTACTTAGAAAGGCACTTTTGTCCTTTGGACACCAGTAATTCTGCCCTTAGAACTATGGAAGACTTACAATACATTAGAGAAGAGTAATGGGAAAAATAAAGGTAGGGACACTAAGCAAGAAAAACAATAGGAAGAATTCAAAGAGGAGCTTCCCAGACAGGGTAAATGAGGATTGTGTTTCTGAATGCCTCATGATGACATAATCCTCTGAAGGAAAGGGTTGTGTTAGCAAGCAGGAGCTTCTGTTTGAGCTAAGCTGAGTAATCAAAACCTTTGCCTGTATCATCCTCTCTTCCCAGGATCACACAAGAGGAGCTTGAGCCTTGGTGATAAAGAAATAAGCAGGTCCTCACCTTCTCCAGCTCTGGAGCAGCCTTTCAGAGACCGTTCTAACACTCTGAGTGAGAAGCCTGCTCTGCCTGTCATCCGTGACAAGTACAAGGATCTCACTGGAGAGGTGGAGGTGAGCAGGATAGTTTTCTATAGGGGAGTAGGTAAAAGACCAGTTGAGCCCGGAACACAGGAAAAGATACTTTCAGCTTTCTTCTGGGGAAATGAGGGAGAAAAAGACACAAGTCACCAGATACAAAATATATAATTACAACAAGAGGCTAGTAATATTAGCCCTGGGTGAAAGTACTTTTCAAATGTGGCAGCCATGAAAGTGGTCAAAGACCTTAAAGCTGAACTTATTCATGGGACTTAACAAGCAGGGAAATATTTGGGGAATTCTTCTTGAGCACTTAGACTTTCTCATACTGTTGAATGTTAAAACATCAAAGTAGGGCTGGAGGAGTGACTCGAGTGGTAGATTTCCTGCTTTGTAAGCATGAAGCTCCAAGTTCAAACCCCAGTCCTACCAAATAAACAAAACAAACAACAACAAAGCATCTATCTAGACAGGTAGAGCACCTGCCTAGCAAGTGTGTCAGATCCTAAGTTCAAACCCCAGTCTCACCAAAAACAAAAATCGGCAAAATAGAGGAGAAAGGGAAATGTTCTAGGTCTTCTGACTGTTTTTGTTTGCTACATCTTAGTCCCATGCTATCTTCCTCTTTGGCCAACACACTTAAACTTTCCTTTCCCCACTCCTATCACACATGCACACACGTACACACAAAGCATTTTAACTGTGGAGTGGAAAGCCAGTGGTGGGTGAGTTCCTCTGGAGAAGGCTCACACTGTTAACTGACTGCAACAAATGAGGCAACATTTACAGAGGAACGCTGCTATCATAAAACATGTCCCTCTGGTTCATAGGTCATGTGCTCAGAAGTTACATTAATTAGTAATTTAAAACAATTATTACTGGGTTCAAAATGATGAATTGCTTTTACAAGAATGCTTTTAATGAAAAGGAATCTTCCAAGCTCTTTTTATCTGCAGAAGTTTTAAATAGGGGATCCTAGGCTAGCCTGTTTAACTTGGTTCTTTTTATAAAATCCACAGGAAAATGAGAGATATGCATATGAATGGCAGAGATGTCTAAGAAGTGCTCTGGATGTGAGTATGTCACAAGTGCCCTCTTGCACTATTGTGCCTTCTCCTTGGTTCTTTTGAATGGATGGCAGCAAACTTGATGGGGAGCCTTACTTCCATGGCCTTTACAATGTGAAAGTCATACATCTCAAGAAAAGTTTCTTTCCTGTTTATAATAGCAAATTCTTACTCATTTGTCAGTTGTCCTCTCATCTCAGGTGTTTGATAAATAAGATATCCTTACCTCTGCCTAAATCAAAATAATATTTAAAGAACTTCTATCTTTTCTCTTCAAAAAAAAGTGGAGAGTGGTTTCTTTAAGGTTAAAATTGAATTCCCAGATTTGTTTCAGTATAGGCATCAGTCATTCATGATTTTTCACACTTCCTGGGGTTGTGGTTGGGTTTTCTACTATTAAGAAGTTGATTTACAATGAACTTTCCTCTTAATTATGTAAAAGGATGTGATTTCATTTCTTATAGGTCATTAAGAAGGCAAATGACACCTTAAATGGAATTAGTAGTAGTGCTGTTTGCACAGAAGTTATTCAGTCAGCTCAAGGCATGGAATACTTATTAGGTATGCTCTTTTATATTTATTCAAAATCATAACACTTTCCATTATTACCAGTTTTTACTTATATTAAGTATTTTAACCTAGATTTCTCAAACTATATACAGCTTCACTAAGTAGCGTCTGCATTTGTAGATAAGACACTTACGTCAGAGGCAGTAACAATTATTTGATATAAGGTCCCTATGGTTAGGTTTTCAAGTCTTTGTTATACAAGAGCTCCAATGTAAATTACATTTGTGTTACTGGCTAATCAAAGAGTTTGAACTAGTGAGGCATTAAAATAAAATCATTTTACTTCCAATCAGTTCCTTTCCACACTGTGTGAATTCTTTTTTCTGCCCTTTAACTTCCTGGCTGTCTTCAGCTATTAAACATCCCATCCAACTTGAAATCTCAGTCTCTGTGTCCAATTCAGTGTTCCTCCTCTCCCCAAACTCAGCCTGACCCAAGACCAGGGTCACATACACAGGAGCCTAATCTTGTTCAGATCTTCCCTCAAGTGTCACCTTCTCAGTGAGGTTTTCTCTGGCCTCCTTTATGAAAATGGCATCTTCTCTCCCTATCTCTGGCACCTTACATCCTATCTCTGCTTGGTTTTCTCATTAGACCTATCATCTTGTATATCTCACATATTTTACTTATTCTTGTTTTTACTGTCTTCCCTTCATTAGAATGGATCTCCAAGAAGGCAGGGATTTTGACCTACTTTCTTCACTCTGTGCCCCTAATACCTAACCTAATGCCTGGCCCATGGAAGGCACTCAGAGTATTTGCTGTATGAGTGGGTAGTGAAGGGATGTAGTCCCTGCTTGACTCCTGCACCTCACTCTAGTTCCCTTCCTACATTAGTTCTTCTTCTCCTGCTCAAAGAGACAATTGTACTGCCTAAGCACATGTCCACCAAGAAATGGGATGCTTGTCTTTACCTCTGGTAGGTTTCCTAATACTATGGACGATTCTCTTAGAAGCACCCTTCTGTCTTAGTGTGGACAATAATTCCTGCCTGCCCTTTGTGGAAAGAGGAGGAAAAGCCATAGTGTTCTATATAAGGCTGATGTGGTGATCCCCTGGGATTCTCCAGTATTCATGTACAGAGTCTGGGGTAATGTGTCTGGTGACTGTCACATTATAGGGACAGAGAATTGCCTGGTGGCTGCTCTTAGAATGTAGAAGTACTTGGCTCCTCCTGTCTTTCTGCTTGAGTTCAGCCCAATTCAGAGACCACAGGAAAATAACCATTCTGCATCCTGCTAAGTGCATAGGAGATACGTGAAACCACTGAGTTTGTAAATCTTTGAGAATTCAGAGGGGTGAGGTATTTCTTTAACAACTCTGTGGTGACATTAACATTCAGGTTCTTTTAAACTTGTATTTTTCCTATTTTCAGTCAGTACTGTTGTAAGCCTTTTATAATATTAAACCATTAATCCTCTCAACCATCTTTTGAGGGGGTACTGTTAGTATCTAAGCTTTACAGATGAGGAAACTGAGATACAAGTAGGCTCCATGACTTGCCCAAGGTTACATGGCTAGTAAGAGGTAGAGCAGGAATTTAAACCCAAGCAGCATAGCCCTAGAGTCTGCTGTTACCTGAATGGCAGTTTTGAGAGGTGGGTTGGGTCCAAAGAACAGTAGGTTCACCTCTGTCTAGAGGAAGAAGATAATAGCAAGTGGTAGTGCTGGCCTGTCTTGTTCCTCTCTTTTTCTACACTTTCAGTATCTAACTCTCTACTCTATCACTCTGTCAGGTGTTGTTGAAGTATACAGAGTAACCAAACGTGTGGAGCTTGGGATAAAAGCCACTGCAGTATGCAGTGAGAAACTTCAGCAGTTATTGAAGGACATCGATAAAGTATGGAATAACCTAATCGGCTTCATGTCACTCGCCACACTCACAGTAAGCCCATTAAACAATTCATCAGTTACCCCTCTTTCCAGAAACCTAAGTTGTAAAGCAAAGACTATATTCGTGTTTTTTTTAAAGCACTGTCTTGAGATCTTCTCTGTGTACTTCTGTTTACTTATGTCCAGTGTCTGGTGACCCTGTATCCTTTTAAAAAAGCCATATGAACTGAGGGAATGACTCAAGTGATACAGCATTTACCTAGCAAGCAAGAGGCTCTAAATTCCAACTCTGGTACAACACCCCCCTAAAAAAAAGTGTATTTATATTTGTGTAAGCCCTCAAAATGGGGATAAAGTAAACAAAAAAATCTATAGAAGAAAAAGCTACTATGGAAAAAAGAGAAATCTGAATTATACTAACAAAGTTTAGTACCATTGGTATTCAGAGTAATATAAATCCCAATAAAAACGAAATCATTAAAAACATACAAAAAATAAAAGCCATATGATAAATACATCATATTGCTATTCTATACTTCCTTTGCTACTTTTTTAATTTCTTGGATTACTTTCAATTTTTCCTATTATGAATAGTTCTACTCTGAATAAACAAATAACTAGTTTCTCTTTTGGGGATATAGTTGCTCAAAGTGGCTTCACAAGGTCAAAGTGTGTGTTCATATTTACATGCATGCACACATAGCTGCCATTGCATGTCTTAGATGGTATCCAGATTGCATTTAATTTCATGAAAGCCTTTGCCGTGTTCCAAATGGTAATTTACTGTTTGTTTCCATCATGTACAAGACAATCATCTCTTGACCATCTGACCATTTATTCAATGGATATGATTATTGATCTTTCAGTTTCATATTTGTGTGTGTGTGTGTGTGTGTGTGTGTGTGTGGTAAACAGATAAGGTCTCTGCTGGACTCCTGCCACCTCACTCTAGTTCCCTTCCTACTTTAATTCCCTTCCTCCAGCTCAAACAGACACAATTCTACTGCCTGAGCAGACGTCCACCAGGAAATGGGACTCCTGTCTTTCCCTTAGTAGGCTTTCTGGAGGAAAAGGCTAGTGACCTTTTATTGTTTTTCTTTTCCTCCTCTGTTATTGTTCCCTTTTTACATTTCATTGGGCAGAACTTTTACATATCTTCCTCCCACAACTGGAATAAATATTGCTGTTTTTTTTTGTGTGTGTGTGTGTGTGTGAGAAGGTTGGGGGATAATGGGACTTGAACTCAGTGCCTTGCACTTGCTAGGCAGGTGCTCTACCACTTGACCCACACCTCCAGCCCTGTTCTGTCTTTGGTGGCAATCAGTTGTCATTGTGGTTAACACTTTGAACAGTAGATTTTTGTCTAAACTCTCAAACCAGTCACCATCTCTTCTCAGCTAGAGAATGCTGACTATGGTTACAAAGCACATCTTTGTAACCACTCTTTGGTGGCACTGGGGTTTGAACTAAGGGCTTCACACTTGCTAGGCAGGCACTCTTACTACTTGAACTGCAAGTCCCATGAACTCTTTGAAGAGAAAGTTTTGCAAAGGGCCCAGTGCCTTAACCAAGCTTATATATGTGTCCTTTTCATTTTGGGGCAAAGGATAATTGGCAAGAATATTGGCCTGGGTTGCTGGCATGTATTTACTCCATGAAGTAGCTACTTTCACCAGGTGTAGTGGAAGCCACTGTCCTCCTTCCTTGACCATCTTCCCTAACTTCCAAGCTGTAATGGACTGACAGCTCAAGAGGGATTTGCTTTCTAGACTTGGATTGTCCCTCCAGGCCTTTAAATAGAAAAAAAAGGTGGGGAGGGTGGAAGAAGGAAAAATTTACATATAATAACGTGCAAAAATCTCAGTTACACCATTCCATGTGTTTTTTTAGTTATACCATGTGATGAGTTTTGACAAACGCACACTCCCTCCATAACTGTGTCATATTGAGATGAAGATTCCAGAAAATTGCCTAATACATTTTCTTATTCATTACTCTATGCAAAGATAATGCCTGTTGGTAAGTTTTTACACCAAGGGTTAGGTTGCCCAGACCTTTTTTAAAAAGCCTTAGAATTTGATTTTTTTTTTTTTTTTTGATGGGACTGAGGTTTCAACTCAGGGCCTTGAACTTGCTAGGCAGGTGCTTTACCACTTGAGAAATGACACCAACTCTTTATGCTTTAGTTATTTTTTGAATAAGGTCTTGCATTTATGCCCAGCAGCCTGGACCCTGATCCTCCCATTATGCTTCCTGCATACCTATGATGACAGGCACATATCCCATGCCCAGCTTTTATGGATTGAGATTGGATCTATCCAACTCTTTGCCCAGGCTGGCCTTCAACTATGATCCTCCCAATCTTCATCTCCCAAGTAGCTAGGATTACAGGTGTGAGCCACCATGCTTGGCTTGCCTGACATTTTTTTAGATACCTTATAAGGGTTCATAGATTAATTATCTGCCACTCTACAATGGTAGAATGCACTGCAAGTTGTACATGAACACCACTGAGTATTAATTTCTCTAATTACCCATGTTCTTCCATTTATAGTTGGTTTTTTTCACCAGGTTAGTTGTGACAGAACAATAATTTTCTGTTCAGTTAATTTTCTAGATGATACCATGTCATTTCTTCTTGATAACTGGCAGATAGGTTCTCAGTCTATAAAACTTAATTGAATCACCCACTACATAAAGAGTAGCATATATTCCAGAGAAGTATAAGGTGTGACTTGTCATAAAGAAGGACCCTTTGCTATAGGAGAACAGATAAGAATAGTTGCATAAAAGTAAATGACATACAATCCCAACATTTATGTAGTTCAGGTGAGTTGTAACAAAACTGTACAGGCTCCAGCAACTTTGGATTAGATGCTCACAGCAGGAAGGTCATTACTAGAAAGAGGCATGATTCAGGTTGAATAGAAAGCTTTGAACGCTTCACATCATTCCTTCATTATAGGTAAAGGAGTTCCTTAATGGACCATACTGCCCTGGTGAGGCTCTTTGGCTTCAGTATGACTGTCAATACTTACAGTTTCTGTTTATTTTGCAGCTAGTACTGTTATAGGAAAGCCAGTCCCCTGGCCTCAATGCCAATTTACAAATAGCAAGAGCATGGTTTTGAGGCAAAGGAAATAAGGTTTATTATTCGTCAAAGAAAACAACAGGGAGAGTTGACCTGTCAAGGCTCTACTGTCCCACTTCTGAGAGAAAATACACACTTTTTAAAGAGGAGTTCCAGTTCTCAGTTTGAGTACTTGACAAAACTCATGTCCCACAATAGGTGCTGGCCTTGGTTCTTCCAGTTTACTGGCACCACATTTCAGAAGCTGTATGTCTTGGTTGATAGGTTTATTCCTCAGTGGTCAGAGATAAGCGGGAAAAGATTGCCTGGTTTAATTGAAGGATAGAGTGTTAACCCTAGTCTTTCCAGCATGTAGAGAAAGACAGAGAAAATGTCAGTTTGAGTAACAAGCGTAGCAACCTGGGCAACACGAAAGCTAGCTATACTAAAGTTTTCCCTTTTGTCGCCTGTTACATCTTCCCCACTGTCAGTTTATTCCTTCCATTTCTATCATCTAACTGCTTCCTGTCTTTAGTTAATTCATGGGCTCAAGTAGAGAGTCAGTGGTCTTCAACAAGAGACAGCTTTTAAGCACTCATTACAGTACCAGCTAGGCATTATGCTGTGTTCTTTACATTCATTCTCACTTAATCCTGGTAACAACCCTATGAGGTCAGTAGTATATTCCCCATTTTTACAGGTGAAGAAATTAGGGCTCAGAGAAAATAAAACTTGACTGAAACTGGCAAATCAAGGATCTTAATCCACATCATTTAAAAAAAAAATCTCAGTGTTATTTCTACCTTCCAAGGTACTGGAAAAAGATGGCTGCATTGGGGCTCGGGGTATGGCTTAATGGTAGGACATATGCCTAGCATATATAAACATGAAGCCCTGATTTAATCACCAAAATACACGCACGTGCTCACGCGCATTACTTTCTTCAGGGAAAAAGCCCCTGATGTGGTGTACATCACACAGTAGGGCTCAAATAGGTTCCTTAGTAGGGTACATTAGTCTTAAACTTCAAATCATGGCCCTTTAATATTTTATTTATTTATTTAGTTAGTTATTAGTTAGTTGTTACTAGGATTTGAACTCAGTATATTGTGCTTGCTAGAAATCACACAGGCTCTTGGATTCCATATTATCTTCAATATAATACAAAATTTTGGGTAATTCTTTTCAGTGTGAAAAAGCACTAAATTTCAGAATGTTTACTTCCAGTTGCTGTGGTATACTCATTTTTAATGATAGCATTTTTATCTCGTCATGTCAGTCTGCACCATGTTTTAGAGTCAGCATCTTCACCATGTCTCTGTATGGCTGTCCTCAATTGATAGAAGGTAGCTGTGGTAGATGGAATAATGGCCTCTCAAAGATGGCTATGTACTAGAGCCTGTGGATATGTTATCTTATGTGGTAATAAGGACTCTGCAGATGGGTTTAAATTAAGAGTCTTTAGTTAGGGAAATGATACTGGATTATCTAGGTAGGCCCAGTGTCATCACAAGCATTCTTATAAGAGTAAGGCAGGAGGAAAAGAATGAGAAAAAGCTATGTGACAACAGAAGCAGAGAGAAATTGGCAGGTGCTACCCTGTTGACTTTGAAGATGGGACCCTGAGCCAAGGAATACAGACAGTTTCTAGAGCCAGAAAAAGTAAGGAAAGATTTCTTCCCTTGAACTTCTGAGCTGTAAGATGATAAATTTATGTTGTTTTAATCCATTAAGTTTGTACTAATTTGCTACAACAGCAATAGAAGACTATGATATAAAACACTGTAATGAAGCTGAAACCAAAAATCTAGAATTACTTGTGGAACCTGTATCTAGGTCACTCTGTATTTGACAATTAGGTGAGGTTATGCTGTGGCGACAGACATTTGCCTCCAATCTTAGCAATATAAAACAACCAAGCTTGCTTTCTTGCTTATGCTATATGTTTGTCCATGTTGAAGGGGCTCTGTGTCACTTAGGGA